CGAGGAGATGGGTCTTGTATCATTTTAAATCTTGATTCTGCGCGTCTTTAATGGCTTCCCTGCATTGTTCATTAAACCAAGAGTTCTAACTATTAGATGTGTTTTCTTTTTTTAATACTTCATCTGATATACTATGTCCCATGTTTTTTTTAGGTTTTACTCTGAATTTTGAGATATTTTCATAAGTTCATCATTTAGTTTTCTTCGGTATACTTTCATTTTCTTTTGATACTTAGTTTTTTCTATTTCCAGGCAGGAACTATATTTTTATCTTTCTGATTTCAATTACTAGCTAGTTTGATTCTAAATGATGCTATGACCAAATAGTGGTCTGTGACTCCATCTCTATAACTTCTAACTAATCTAACACTAGTTCTTTTATTTATTAGTATATAGGCAATCTTGCTCTTAGTTCTTCCTTCTGGAGATACCCAGATTTGTTTGTAAATTTCTTTACGGTGAAACTGTATACTACATATTACTAATCCTTTGGTTGAGGCAAAGCTAATCTCATTCCATTGTTAATAGTTCACTATCATTACATTCCTTTCCTATAGTTTGTCTAAAAGCATGTTCACGCCCAACTTCGACATTTTTATCTCCAACTAAGATCTTTATGAAGTTTTTGGGTGTCATATCATAAACTTTTTGTAGATTATCGTAAAAAGTCTTTATTTTTATTGTCTTCTGTTTCTGTTGATGTATGACAGTTTATTATTGTGATATTATAGATTTCAATTATTTATTATTAGATAACAACCATTAATTGTTTCGATCTTCTTTACTATTTGTACTAAAGACTCTTACAATAAAATATACCCATATTCGTGTCTTTCAATATTACTTCCTCTATAAAAAAAAAGTGTTATATTATCTGATACAAGATGTCCTGCTACTGATTTCTTATAGAGCAACTAAATCTAAATTATTCTAATAATGCATTTTAAAACCCCAGGTTTGTATAAAGATTTTATGTTTCATGTTCCAAACCAAAATGCTCTAGATTTTTCAGTCTTAGTTTCAAATTTATTTCCTAGATTTTTCGTTATGTTTTAGTAGATTTTTTAAAAATAGTTTTTTTATGGATGGTCAGACCGTCGCCAAACCTCAAACCTAGAGGATCAGATTCTACTATTAACTTAGGTAATGAGATTAGGTAGTGCAGCACAATTTTTCTAGTTGATGGGAGCGCCAATATTTCTACGCCAGAGCTCGGGGTCCCGGATTTGCTAGACCCGTAACACAAAATATCCTCCTGGAGATTGAACTAAACTATTAAGTTAAATAATCGGATAGATTTTTTTTCAGTTTTAAGTTTGATTTGTTAACAGTTTGTAATACCACAAATTATTACACATTATGTATTACAAAAAAAAACATTAATTTATTCCAAATAATTTTTTAATTTAATTTTTTTTAATTTTTTAAAATCAGGTGAGTTTTTTGGTAGCCACATCGATAATATTACATAAGTCTATTACTTTTTCAAATATTCATAAAATATTAATTAAACTAAAATTTCTTCGAGTTCATTTTATATAAATAAAATTTTATATTATTTTTAAAGGCTGTTCTGCATTTACTATCAATACTTGGCGATCCAATTGCTGGTTTTCCTAAATTGACTGAATTAACCTCGCTACGAAGATGGTACGAGATTCGAATTAACAAAGATAGATATCTTACAAGGAAAAAGAAATGTTAATTTAATATTTATCTTTAAAGTTTTAATTATAATTACTTATAATATCACAAATATTTTATATAGTAGAATTAATGCAAAAATCAATGAACGCTTGGAACGTACCAAGACCGAAGTTCACAAATATTCCAATTCCACCTAATCCATATCAAACCGATATAATAAACGATGGGAAAATTACATGGGATCAAATTAATAATGTTAAACAAAAAGTACTTATTTGAATATTAAAATTTATTTAAACTTGTTTGTATAAAAACTAAGTTCAGTAAAAATGGTATGTAAATAGAATCCCTAAAGGTGATAAGTTAAAGTGGTGGTTGTTTTTAAATAGTAAGGGAATCGTTCTAACTATCTAATTACTTCGTAACCAAATTAAACAAATACCTCGAATTAAAATTTAAAAAAGTTGTTAACCGTTTTAATGTTTAAATGAAGTCATCAGCGAATTAAACCAACATAAATATAAATTTAGTTGTCCTAGAAGACTGAATGTTTAGTTTAATTCAGAAGGCAGGTCATGATTCAAAATTATGCCTACCTAAATTACTCCTGTGGAATTTTTACACATTTTTCTTTAGTATTTAAAACTTTACTAATTTTTTAGACTTATTCAAACGATATTTTAATGATTTGTATATTAAATGTTAAGTATATTTCGCACTTTATTTAAAATTTTAGATTGATCTACAGATTTATAATACAGCATATTATATATATAATTATAGTATATATTATATACTAGAGCACAAATACAAAATATAGAAGCGTGTAGTTTTATGATCTTATATTTTATAATGTACGATTATTTTTTCTTTCACTCTGTTAATTATAAAATAAACTTATAAAAATTATGCATAAAAAAAATGCTTATGTTAAATTTTTAATAACGTGGAATTTTTTCTATAATTGCTTTTTCTCACACATATGTTTTTATAATTATAAAATTATAAAATATTTTATTTTCCAATTATATAGATAGATTTGGCAAAAAAAGGATACAATGAAAAGTTAAAACAAATGGCTGTCAATAATGCTCGAGATCTGTATCCAACTATGGAAAGTATTTATTTTAAAAGCAATGTAAATCAAAATTTCAATCATACATTTTTTAATTATTTTCCTGCCAAAGAGGACGATTGTTTCGAAAACGTTATAGGAACAATATCAGGAAAATTGAAGAAGCCAACTGATAGCTGCTAATAAACTTAATTTAATACGTCAGACAACATAAAATACAACTTAGTTTAAAAGTTGAAATACTAACATTGTATAACTTAGAAATATTTGAAACATTCACAATCAGTAGTGAGAAGAAAATGTTTCTTGTGAGAATGTACAAATAAACATAATAATTAAAAATATTAATAATTTTGACATTTTATATACGTGATATTTATATAATTAAACATTGAAAATTAAAATTAAAAACTTGTAATACCTAATTTATTTCATTAGTTGATTAATATTTTATAATTTATATCTTATTTATGATTTTAAATTGAATTTAACCGTTCTAAAAAATTATTATATAATATGTCAATCTCTTGAACTTGCTGATCCAATAAAGCAATATCGTATATTGGTTGCACGAGATCTATTATATCTAATTCTAACAAATCCAAAGAAGCTAAAATATTAAAAATAATAATTAGATATTCATTTGAAACAACTACATTTAAAAAGTATTAAGATAATTTCAGTAAAGTACATAAGAGGAAATTACAAGTCACTTTATGAAGGATAATGTGACTAAATTAATTTTATAAAAAATTCAATTAATTCGGGATTCTACAAATTCTTCACTCTTAAGTTAAGAATTATATGTACCATTAAATTAATGGTACACAAAGTTAGGTTGCCTCTTTTATAAGGATATAAAAAAAATCACATTTGTTTTAAATATTAGTATTGACACGTAATTTCACATTATTTATCGCCCTTTCTAGTAATTTGAATGTATTTAAATTGCTGTTAAAAAACACAATTAAAAAAAATAAAACATTTGCAGTATGGAAATATCAAAAAGGGAGATACCAACCTAAAGACCACCATAAGTGTGTTTCCAAGTAAATCTAAATATAATATTTTTAATAATTTTAAATTACTCTTTTTTCACAAAAATAATATATATCTTTATTAATTCAATTGTCAATAATGCCAGAAAAAAAGTTGTTGGGACATTTTTTTCTCTTATGATCACATAAGATCTAATTTAATATATGCTTGGATAACACAGAATTTCCAAAATATTTTTGAAAGATAAATAGAAAAAATTAACATTACACATGTGTTGTCATTTTACTCCTTAGCTCTCCCGTAAGTAGAAAAATTGTCAAAAAATACCTTCTTAGATTTACATCGAAGCTAAAAAATATATATATAAGTCGAATGTAAATAACATAATTACGGTATTCATTAAATATTGTGCACAGATTAAAAAAAAACAAATGATCAAAATTTTCTAATTTTAAAAATGGTATTTTTTTAAAAATGTTTTCCCATTTAAGGAAAAATTGTTTAAGCTATGGCATTGATAAATTTGACTATAAACGATTGATAATTATTTTTATTAAATGAATTAATAAATGATCATATAGAATTTTTAAACTTGATATAAAATATATTTAAAATACTATTTTGGGAACAATGTTACCAAAATCAGCGATAAACACATACAATATTATTTTTAATAAACGTAACTTAAAAAATTGTCTATGGGGGTATATATTTATGGGATCTTATATTATATTTCATAAATTTGGATAAAAAAACCTAACTTTAAGCTAAACTATCACATTACTTTATTTCATCCCCTACCAAAAAAAAATGAATTATTTTGAAAACACTATAATTATTTATATAAGTTAACCCAACGCTAATACTAATTACATGGTTATACACAATAAAAAATCTATTTTACCTTTCATGTGTCCTATGGACACCAATGTACGAGTTAAAAATCAATAAAATATTTGGTTATTAGTACGTTACGATAAATGTCAATAAATTAAATTACTTATTATAAATTTTTTTTCTAAATATTAAAACCATCGAACTAAATTTATATTTATTAAGGTAAGTGGTTTTTGTTGAATAAAAAGAGAATTAATTCTAGGTGCTTTATTATTGAATAAAATAAGATTGAGTACATACTGATGAAGTCGTTGAAATTATCAGATAACTCTTTCAAAAAATTCTCTGTCTGAACAACTTTTAAAAATAAGGATTCTACAAAATTCTCATCATGTAAGTAATCATGATTCTTAAAAGTAAATTGCATAATTAATATTATTACTTTGATATACGACCATTTGTTTTACCACTTCAAAATTTGATCGCGCATTTTTTTGGTCAGAATTCGTTTCCATTTTATATTTCGAGAAATAAAATATACAATTCGATACAAATAAAGGAAATGACTTTTTTGCGTACAACTATACGTTTACACTACTTGAGTCAAATGACACACACGGAAATTTTCTAAAATCGATCAAATTAACCGTAATATTAACTTTTTCAGAGCACATACCACACATGTATAACTTGGTATGTTCAGAGACCCAAATTTTCGGATGCGTAACCGATCTTGGTCAGCTATAAAACTTTATCGTGTATAACTGATACACATCAAAATCTTAGTTGTTGTAGATATCACTTCATACTTTGTTATAATTTCATTCCAACTTTGTCAATTACTGACGACTGTATGATTTAAATACATTAGATTAACATACATGTGAAGTTGCTTATTAGATTAGTCGATTTGAATTTAGACTTAGGTTTTCTTTTAATGAAGGTTAAAAAATTCAAGTAATTTTTTTAAATACATTTTAATGATATTGAGTTCCATTCCAACTATACAATGCCAGATAATACAATATCCTACAAGAGCTTTAAGTACCTGGTGACAGCTTATCATGAATTAGTATTGAAGGGACAAATCATTATTATGCAAATATTATACGGATATTGTAAATGCTTAAAATGTCGAGTACCTAGATACAACAAAAAATGCTACTTATTTAATAGTATCGAAAAATCGTATCGAAGCTAAAACTTTGTAATGTATTAGTTTGAAAATGAATATATATATTATAATATTATAATAAATAGCTTGAATGAAAAAACTAGATTACTTTTACTTATTCTAAAATTGGTGATAGTAATTATATTTTAAAAAGAGTTAAATCGATTATAGATAATATAAATTTAAATTTACTGATATTTAAATCTATAAATTTCGCATGAATCACACATACTATATCAAACGTTTTAAGAACATTTTTGTTTAGTTAAAAAATAAATTTAGTTGTATAAAATGTTAATAGAACTGCTTAAAATTTTATTAAGAGTACTCTAACTAATCAGTACCTTCTTATGGTGAGATTAATAAAAACTTAGTGATAATTGTCAAATATTAAATAATTATTTAATACTATTCATTATCATAATTTTTATCAAAAATATTAATATAAATGTACAACTCATTACTTATTGCTTGTAAACATTATTTATACATTTTTAATGTTATGTACATAACATAGTCGCAAATTGGGGGCTTGGAGGGGACTAATTAACTTCCTTGCAAAATTTAGGCAGGGGAAATTACGTATAATGAGCCCCTCTAAAAATTTTATTGAAATTGCGCAGATGTTATTGTTTTCAATACTTCTATTAATTCATGTAATTATATAAGGGTTTGTTTTTCAACTAGTTAAATATTTATCATATTTGTGGTGGAAAGATAAAAAATAAAACGCATTGCGTGATTTTTGATAAGAATACAAATAACGTTCTCATTGATGGCGTTTATTTATCAATTATTACCAATTAAAAGCTATTGGACAAAGGCGTTAAAAGTCCTAGTCCTACACTACATTCATCAAAACGCACTTATTTTTAGTCACTAGTCTTAGTTTTCAAGTAAAATTCCTATTTTTAATTTCTAATGAATAATGTTACCAAAAATTGCTATATTCTTCTATTTTCTATTGATAATTTTAACTCGCAAAAACTGTTCATCTACAAAATATCCAGTTATACTCAGTAAGTAGCTTACTTTTAGTAATAATTTGAATTTTTGTAGTTCGATAAAATATTTCTGATAAAATTATTTTAATTTTAAGAAACCCTTTATATATAAGTTAAACCTTTTCTTTTTGGCTCGTATAAAAAATGGCCATTTACATCATAATAAATGACGCAAATATTCATTTCCAAATATAGAATAGATCCAAAGTCTAATAAAATTTTTAAATCCAATTATAAAATAAATGTTTATTTTATTGATGATATTTATGACTGGTGTGAATAGATTTTGATTAGAAGAATAATAAGCAGATTTTACACCTTATTCATATAGTGTGGTTTTATAAATTACATTTCTGAATAAAATTTGAAATTTGTATAAAAACTTAATATTAATGTAAGTATAGAAAATTATTTATTTAGCATTATTAATGTATTAATGCATTTACAATTGTTTAATCTAAATCAAGGACATATGATATATGTGTCCCTGATGACCTTGTTTGTTTAAACAAATTATTATCCAATGTTTACAAAACCCAACTTAAATGTTAACATAATAAATATTGATTATTTATTAACTTTTATTAAAAGACAAATCATTTTTTGACTAATTCATTAAATTTATTATCATTACTTCTTTAGTATCAAAATTTTATTTATTTTTTAATTATTTGTTTTCATTTTTGTAGTACCAGGTGATGGAGGTAGTCAAATTGATGCCAAATTGGATAAGGCCAGTGTAGTTCATTATATTTGTGATAAAAAGACAAATGATTATTCGAATATTTGGCTAAATTTAGAACTCTTGGTTCCATATGTTATAGACTGTTTAGTATGATTGGTTTTACCCAAAAATATTAATACTTATCTATATAAAATTAATATTTTATTAGATAGACAATATGAGACTGATTTATGATAATACAACTCGTACAACCCACAGTCCACCTGGTGTGGATATTAGAATACCTGGATGGGGAAACTCGAGTGCAGTGGAATATATTGATCCAAGTTTATCTACATTTGGAGCTTATTTTAAGAGTGTAGGTGATTCATTAGTTGGTGTTGGTTTAGAAAGAGATGTGTCAATTCGAGGAGCTCCTTATGATTTCAGAAAAGCTCCAAGTAATAATTACTACTTATTTAAAACTATTGCCCTGTAGTTTTTCTTATATTTAAATCAACAGATGAAAATAAAGAATTTTTCATTAAATTGAAAGATCTAACTGAAGAAGTATATGCTCAAAATAATAATACTCCAGTTGTATTTATTGTACATAGTATGGGTGGATGTATGTCTCTACAATTTTTACGATTACAAACACAAAAATGGAAAGATAAATACATTAGAGCTCTAGTATCATTAGCTGGAGCTTGGGGTGGTGCTGTTAAAGCACTAAAAGTTTTTGCTGTAGGTATGCAGTTTTAACCTTTTTTAGATATATTTTAAAAACAAAATTTTATATAAGTAATCATTAATATTGATAGTAAATATTTTAAAAAATTCTAACCCAATTTCATAATATATTCAATCTAATATGTGTTCTATACCTTATGACAAGAAGTGACTTATCGCAGTAGCAAAACATGCCTCCAAAATTTTAAAAATTTACTTTATATTACTTAAAATTAAAACTTTTAAAATATTATTCATTTAAGACTAAAAAATATTTTTAATATAGTTTTAATTTCAAGTATTATTAGACACAAGTGACCAATTTTTATTATATTACTTTATATTTTTTATCATCTCTATTCTTACTAAATTTAAACTAAAATATTTTAGGTGATGATTTAGGAGTTTATGTACTTAGTGGAAGTGTTTTAAAAGCTGAGCAAATTACATCTCCCAGTCTTGCGTGGCTTTTGCCATCTTCTTATTTCTGGAAAGATAGTGATGTACTCGTTCAAACAGATAAACAAAATTTTACTGTCAATGATTACAAGTCATTTTTTGAGTAGGTAGCTTAGAAAATTTATTTTAAATGATCCATTAGGCAAATAAAATTTTATATCAAATATGATATATATTGTTGATTATTGAAACTCGATCTGGAACTGTGGTAATTAAACCGTAACATATAAAATTAAAAAATCTTTTGATAGTCTTGTAGAAAATGGAACAACTAAACCTTAAAACATATTAAATGCATATTTTTTTTAGCGGAAAAAAAATGAACCATTCAATAATTTTATCACATATAATACAATTCTTAAAAATAATTCAGAATAATCCCATTCACTTAATATGTAAAAAAAATAAAATATTTGGGGCTTATTCATTAATATATAGGTATTGGCTATTATTAGAGTGTTTTAAAAACATACACATTATCTTTAATTTAATTTAATTACAAATTAAAGAGTTTAACTCCTTAAAACCCTTGCCTATGTTCTTGCTATAGTTCTCATATACTGACAATAACTTGTAATTAATTGGTGTATTGAGATAAATTATATTTTAGTATTCATGTGACTTTTTGGAATAAACCCTTCATTCTCTAAATACAGTTTCTGTGAGACCAATTGAGGTGATGACACAGGAAAGTTACTTAATTCAATATAATGCATACATTTTTTGTTTTCTTTAAGAAAAGTAGTATATATAAATAATCTAGCAAAAAAATTATATCAAATTTCTGTATAGAACTAAAATAATGAAAACAAATAGATGCTTATCATAAGTTTACATTGTATAAACAGTTATATGCTTCTCCTGTAAAATTCAGTTTTTATAATTTAATACCTTTTCCATTTTATTGTGTCAATTTTTTTAATAAATCAAGTGAAAATAATTTAAACTTTTTTAGAGGTATTGATTATATGAATGGATATGAAATGTGGCAAGATGTAAAACAATACAAAGAATTTGGGCCTCCTGGAGTTGAAGTTCATTGTTTACATGGTACTACAATTGCCACTGTAGAGAAGTATGCATTTATATTTAATTGTAATTTTAAAATATTAAACTTAAAATGTGTTATTTTTAATAAAAAAAACTAATTTTATCACTTTAGAATGATATATGGACCTGGTAATTTTCCAAATAAATATCCATCAATCCAGTATGGTGATGGAGATGGCACTGTTAATTTGAGAAGTCTTCAAGGTTGTAGTTTATGGTCTACTATGCAAAAGCAAAAAGTATATCACCAAGTATTTCCTAATGCAGATCATATGTCCATTTTAAGAGATGAACGAGTTATGGATTATATAGTTCAACTCATGGACAAATTATAAATTTTTTTACTTTGTTATGTCGATTAAAATTATTCAATGACAAAAGTGGGGAAGTTAATAAATTCTTTGTTAAAAATATTATTTTAAAAATTAAAACAATTTTTATTTAGTAATATTTTATAAAATAAGTATTATCACTCTTATAAATCATATAGTTAAAAATTACTTTTTTTATTGATGAATTGTTGTATTTTATTAATTGTATTTTCAACGAATACAAATTTTAATAGAATATTAAATTGATATTTGTATGTTTCTTCATATTGTTAAAAATATTTTTAAAAACTATCCTAATTTGTAAAAAAAAATTGCAAATATAATTATTCTTTCAGCTTTAGAGATAGTAAAAGCCAATCTTTATATTTTTTCCTATCTATTGCTATCTCTATATAGTTTTCCACTCCTAGTGTAGTTAGATCCTTTAAAAATTCATCATAACATAGTTTTTTAGGTTTTCTTTTCATTTAAATTCTTTTGAAATTGTGTTAGACCTTTGTATGTGGTTTAGCCAACTTAGTCTTTTGACTCTAATTATCCAAATTAAATTTATTTCTCTAGAGGTATATATTTTTTATATAGGTATTACTATTAGTAAAGTCTTATTTTAAAAATCAAAGTCATTTTATTTATTTCTTAGTACATTTGAATCCAGGCACTAGACAATATATGTTAACTGCTACAACATGTTTCTTAATCTCTTCATGATTGAAGTTTTGGCTATGTAGTTCTGTACCTAGATACTTAAAGCTATATAATACATTTTTAAGTTTTTATTCTCTAATCTGTATATTTCTTGTCTTATGTATTTGAAGTTGTTCTCTTGTGTACACATATAGTTTGTTTTGATTTTCAAATCCAATTTTCCATTCACTTCATATTTATTCTTCCGTTGCTAGTTCTGTATATATAATTACCCATTACACTATTATCAGAGAGTACCGTATCAATTTATTAACTATATAATAAAGTACATACAAAATTAAAATAAATATATAGAAAGTTTAGAACACAAAAGAATTAAGTAACATTTTTGGCAAAAAAAATTAAGGCATAGAATAAATGTAAAAAATTGAGTACTTTCTACACACCAAAGGTAATTTTTAATTTTAAAAATACTATTTTATAGAAATATAAAGTTTTGAATTAATATTAACCCTGATGGTGATGCAAATGTTGAAAATCTCCTTTTTAAAAAGAAAATATGAACCCCTAAACATTTTTTTACTTTTTTAAAACCAACAACCTTTTTAATGTCCAGGCCTTTGATAAAATAAATACAAATTCATAAACAAATATGTAAATGGTACAAAATCGATAATTCTCCAATTTAATAAAATTTTTAACATCCAGAATAGTTTTTATTTTTAGTTAAAAATATTATTTATTTTCTATAATAAAAGATTTTTGTATGTTTCTACTTTTTTATAACTTGGCTAATTTCATCAAGAATAATTTAAGAGAAACATACATCCTTTTAAAATAGTAAAATTCATTTTATCTATCTTATTGTTTTTAAAAACAAAAAAATATAAATAAAACAAAATACTCAACTGCAATATAAAAATTAAAAAGTTAGAATTGAATACTAAACAAAAAAAACATAGTACTAAACAAACAATTTGTTTGCTTCGATGCGAAGCGGAGAAAGGAATTAATTTTACTATGATGTGTTTTTTTTTATGTCTGTTGCCACTTTTTCTTAACTCTCACTGAACCGATTTCTTTCAAAAATACGTCAAAAGATCACAAATAGTATCTAGTTGAAGACATTACCCTTAAAAATTGAAAAAAATTCCCTCGTTCCCCGCAAATGGGGGAAATATCCAAAAAAATTACAAATTTAAAAATCGCTAATTTTCGAAATTTTTTCACTTTTTTTTCTTAAAACTTTCATAACTTTTTGAAAAATCAACAAATCAACATAATTTTTTTTTTACTAAAGCCTTAGATATTTACCTTTTATTTGATATCATTTTTTTGAAAATTTATCACTTAACCTACTCATTGGGGGGGATTTAAAATAGCAACTTTTTTACAAAAATTAACTTTTTCAATTTAATTTTTAAAAATGTTCCGGAAATACTGCGTCCTTCAAACATATATCAAATTAAAGCTCATTTTATGTACTATAATATGAAAAAAAAAATTTGTCCCGACACTTTTTCTTCTACATTTAAACGGCTGCCGTAGTTTAAAAAACACTATTTTTGTGTTAAAATTTTCGATTTTCGATTTTCAACTTAAAAATGCTATAACTTTTTGAAAAATGTATATATCAGCACAATTTTTTTTTTTCTAAATACATTATAAGTACATCTTTCATTTGACATACTTTTTATTAAAATTGGACAATTTCCCCTTATATAGGGGGCGTTCAAAACTTAAAATATTGTAAAAAACATAGATCTTTTTCAACTGAACTTTTGAAAATGTTCCGGAAATACTGCGTCCTTTAAACATATATCAAATCAAAGGTTATGTTATATACTATCAAATGAAAAAAAAAAATTTGTCCCGACATCTTATCTTCTATGTGCAAATGGCTGTCGAAAATTTAAAAAAAAATGTAATGTTTGCGATAAAAATTACATTTTATCGGGATGTTTTTTGTACTTAAAACTGCCATAACTTTTTCAAAAATGAACAAATAAAAATAATATTTTTTTGTATTGAAACCTTAGATATTTCCCTTTCATTTGATATAATTTTTTTTGAAAATCTAACACTTATTCTGCTCACTGGGAGGATTTAAAATAGTAACTTTTTTACTAAAAATAACTTTTTCAACTTAATTTTTGAAAATGTTCCGGAAATATTGCGTCCTTTAAACATATATCAAATTAAAGCTTATTTTATGTACTATAAAATGAAAAAAAATTTGTCCCGACGACCTATCTTCTATGCGCAAATGGCTACCATATTCAAAAATATGCTATTTTAACAAATTTTTTTTTTTAATTAAATACTATCTACAGATTTGCATCGAAGCGTTTTTTATGATAGTGATTTTCATCACTGTCAGATATCATCTATACTGGACCTAACTATGCCACGACCCCACTGTGCCGCCACCCCACTGTGCTGGGTTATTTTTATTTATACAGAATTGAAGAAAATCAATATGATTGAAACTAACTGAATGATAACTGTTTTCTGTGTTAATACAATTATTGTGAATGAATTTTATGAACATTCTAGATTTTTCTAATCTCAAAAATATATTTTTAAATTTTCAGTATAACAATATTCCACAAAAAAATTGTAATATAGTACAATATTTTCATCCAGGCTACAATTATCTTGTTTTATGTTTAATGTTATCTCTAAAAGCTATTGCTATAATTAAAGATGTAAAGTAAGTACATACTACAACCTAGTTAAAAATATCAATAAAAATTTATTTAAGCTCATTACAACATCATGACAATAAAAAATAATTATAACACAGTAACTAAAATAAAATTATATAAATGGTAATATGAACGAGAGCAAGTGAAAAATCACAATATCGTTAGTGTCAATTAAAATAATAATAGTAACAATTTCAATCACAGTTAAATCTAGTTAAAAATATTTGATTGAAAAATTAATTCTTCTATTAAAAACTTAAAAATTACAACAATGTATTAAATTAAAAAGAGATTAACAAAATAGTAAAATAAATACAGCACAAAATAAAAATATACCTAAAATAGAAAAACAAGTAATTACAAAAAGTCAATTTACATAATTTTTTTTGATATCAGTCTATATAGTCCCCTGGTTATAGCACAAATATATTTGGAATGAAATAATGTAGAATAATTATTATAAAGTCAAAAATTAGTTACTACTGGTCCTCATGATGGCCCATAATCCTGCAGCAAGACTAAACCCAAAGAACAAGAAACCAAATCTCATTCGTGGTATTCTCCAAATAGGTACAAAATTATAAGCATTTGCAAATGGTGGTCCATGACCAATGGATTTCATGTATTTTAAATGCTTACGCATGGTGTAATTTTCATTCAAACCAGCCAAAAAATCAGCTCTTTAAAAAAAGATTCATTACATTTAAAAATATTTTCAAATCAAATTTAAAAAACTCACTCTTGTTGCACTTTAATATCAACCTCATATTTTATCTTAGAAAGTGGGTATTCGTACAACATATTAGTAGCTTGACTTAAAATTTTTTCAAAATCTATATCTTCTGGAATCTAAAAGAAATTTGTTAATGATATTTTACACTTTATATATATTAAATATACCTTTGAAATAACTGAATGAACACTAGCCATATCACAGTCAGCACTTAAAATATCTTCACTCCTCTCATTTATTAATTGAGCTATCACATATAAAATTATTTCTTTAGGAGAAGCCAAAAAATAATCGAACAGACGAACTACTTTTTTATGCTGACTTAAACTATGGCTAAACCATGATAATAACCATGGCAATGCAAATATTGTACCTATACCAGACCTAAAAATTAAAAATAAAAACTATTATTTCTATTAATAGCTTTAACTTTTTTTTTGGATAAGACACATTAAAATAAAACAACAAATAATAATGAAAATTATTTACTTTGTAAGGAAATATTCTAATTCTGGATTTAATTTTGAGATTAGAGGGAAAACATTCCAAAGCATGTAAGACGTTTCTTCCATTGTAGGCATTAAAAACTGTCTTAAATGATTTAATGATAAATATTCCATTATACTATAAGCTTTTTCTTGTCCAACTTCAATTAAAAATGTAACAGCAACATCATGATAGCCCTAATGTAATTTTTTTTATTCATTTAATTACATTTTATTTTCAATAAAATTCTAAAACAACTTTAAATAATGGTTTAATTATAAGTGCACCTGATAATATTTTAACTCTGGATGTTCAGCAATAACACTCAAGATAATTGCTATTAGTTGATTTTGCAAAACACCTATTCTCTCATATGAAATGCCCGGAGGAAAACGTTTAAGACATCTTCGAACATCCATTACAACTTGATTGTATTCTGGATGATTAGTTATTATTTCCTCATCTAGTAGTTGTTTATTTTTTTTTGGTAAATTCAAAAATAAAGGCCAGGCTTCAGATCTTACTAAACCTAATTTATATTTATAGCATAAAAATATATTAGTATCTCAAATTTAAAAAAATATTGATTTCTAATACTTACTTATAACTAATCCTCCTTCACTTGTTGCGAGATTACGTAATTCATCAATATCTTTTTTATCATGTAGAAGTATTTCATTGCATTTATCTACCTTAGATTTATATTGATCTGGTACCACATTCTGCACTATTAATCATAAATTAACTAAAATAATTATAAACAATCATATGTAAAATAAGTAAAGGTCTATAAATAAATTTGAATGTTTTCTAAGCTTATCCTATTAATTAGAATTTTATAAATTCTAGTTTGGTGAATACTCATAAATTGTAAAATAAATTTATTAAAACTGGCAATTTATTTTTTAAATCAATAAAAAAAATCATTAATATTTTCTACTATACGAATTAAAAATAAATACTCTCATATTTTAATCACATCACCTAAATTATAATAATTATAAATAGTGTTAACATTACTAAGTTTGTTCATAACTTCACAATAAGTCATACCTACATATAATACATCCTAATATATGTTTTAGTTTTTTTAATACATACGTATTAAATAATGAATAGCTAAACCAAATTGAATATTTTAGAAAACTCAAAGCTAGTTGATTTTTTATTAAGTAACGAATTTTAAAATCATAGTAAAATATATATTTTAAAGACTTTTATAAATTGTAAGATTTTAGGAAAGCGCATACCTTCATAGAAATCTATATTCGAGTAACTTGAATCCGAAGAATTATCAGAATCATAACCAGTCATTTTGATGTAATTCTTCACTGCAAATTGGTTCTTCGCAATTATCGTATTCAATCAAAGAAATAAAAAAACTGATAACAATAAAAACAACATTAAAATAGTCGTTTCCGGAAATTAAGATAATTAAGAGTTATTCATAGTACTATAATTAACGTAGGAACGTAACAGATTTTTGCAATACCGAGTGTAATCATAGACAAGTATACTAAACTTTAAATTGAATTTACAAGAAGTGCGTTAACTTTATTGTCATATAAACTGTTTGTCATAGATTAAAACGTCAACTCACATAGAACTAAAAAAATTTGTGTAGATATTTTTTTAGATAACGTTGACGTCTTATCACTTACCGACGTATACGCGCCATAAACACATATGAATGACACCTCGACGATTTTAAGTGTTACACCATAGACATATTAACAAATGCATCGGCGAAACTAAAATGAACCAGTCTTCCAAACATGGGTGTACTATAATTTTTAATACCTTCAAAATAAAGGTTGGGTACCCTTATTTCGCTTTAGTATCTTCAAGCTCCATAAAGCATTGATATTTAAAGAATTTTTTCAAGGGATACTTTAAAACAGTTGTCACGACTTTTTCCTCGTCCCTACAAAAATAACAGCCCATCTCCTATAAACCAAATTTAATATTTATAATATTAATATTCTAATTTACGACAAAGGTATATTTTTTTATTTATCTAACAAATATTTTGTTTAATTAAGTTCTCTTTTAGTTATTATTTCATAGTATTTATGTGTGCTACAAAGGCTTGCTAATATGTTAGCTTCTGCTAACATATTTTTCACAATTATGTTAGGTTTAGATTTTACATAGAGAGAATTTACCTTACACGTTCTGGAGAGGTTCTCTTAAAGATTTTCATTAAATTTTTTTAATAGCCAAAATTACGAATTTTTAGTGATAGCTCACTATAAAAAACATCATATTAAATATATCAAACTAATATTTCTCACAAAAATTAATAAAAAGAAAGTTTTTTGACTTTTTCATAAGAAAATTTTCATAAAATTTCCAATAGAAATTTTAATACATAATATTAGACTTGTTTTGAAATTAAAATTATTTTTTGTTCATGTTTTAATATATGGTTAACCAAGTCGAATAATTTTATTATTTATCGAACTATTAAAATATAAAAATTTATATTCTTTTTTTTTTTAATGGTGAGACTTCATTTTTTTAACTTAAATTGAAACTAGAAGGTTTATTGCAACATATTTTTTAGTTTTTTGTTCATAACTTTTCTAGAAACATTACGATATCTTTTTCAACATTTAAGACTAAAATAAGCTTACTAAAGGTGATACAATAAAATTACACAATTTAAAAGGCTACCAAGATTGGATTTAACACAGCAAAATTGTATAACTAATTTATTTCATTAGTTTTTCATAGTTAACTAATCATAACTTTTTAAATTTAATCTAAAAAAATATGAATATTATTATTTCATCACGGCGTCCAATAATGGAATTTTGGACACTTCTTCTAGAGTCGTACCTACTCGTTGTATAATCTTTCTCATTCTTTTTAAATTGATAGTCAATTGTACTTCCAAAAAGTAACATATTCTTAAATGAATATGATACCACAGTTTTTAGTGTATTTTAATAAAAAATCCCACTTCACAATTTGAAGAAGTTATCTATCCTGAAATTAATATCTAGGCACGTCACTACATTTTTATTTCAATATCATCATAGATTGTAATAATTATAATACAACAATAATAAAAAAATTAGCGCTAGAATATTACTCAATCGAGTTGTTTTTATATAACACAATATAAAAATGAACTAGTAACAGTAATAACTAATTTATTTTTATCAATAAATCAAATATTAAACATAATATGTACAATAAATACCTTGATAACATAAACTATAAAATATTGTACATATTTGAAAACGATAAGATACATGTAAGTATTGGCTGCAGTTAACACAGAATTTTAAATAATGGTACATTGTAGGCTTGTAATTATTCATTTCTATTTTTTTTTTTTTTTTACACATATATAAAAGTTTTATTATTACAAAAATAGAATAAAAAAATAAACGACTTGAGAACCTTTTTTTTTTTTTACACCATCGGCATTACTTTGGAACGCCCAGGAATTTCCATTACTTCAGGACTCGACTTAAGAACCTGTGAAAAAAAATCTGAACACGCCTATGGTAAAAATAAATAAAATTGAAGACCTCCAATTTATACTTCACTCTTTTTATTCTTTTACTATTATTTATTCTTCTTATTAACAAGAGGAATTATTAGAATCGTACGCCCAACCCTTACCATGACAAAATCATAAATACTCACTAACATATATACAACATTTTCTTGTAAAATAAGGTAATAAGATAAGGGTAAATATATGACATGTAAACGTAATAAAAAGTCACCATTAGCAACACATGATATTAGAATATTAATCATCTATTTTTTGTATATATTTTTATTTTTTTGAATTAATGCAACTGTTTTTATGTACTTTAATGATGACCGTTTATAATGTAAATGTATAAATTATATAAAAACCATGTCAATTTGACGGTAGTATTCAGAGTTTAAATTAAAAGTTTTAATAGTTAAGTTTTAATTTTAGTTACAATTCTAAATTTTCTAAAAAAAAAAACCTTTAAAAGAATGTTTTTATCACTTTCGAGTGACAGTCTCACCATCCAATTCAGAATAAAACTAAAATTTACTAAGCGATTTTTACTGATAATTAGCAAAATTTTAATTAAAAAATGAATTTATAATATTAATGAGAATTAAATTTCACTAAAGAGCTGTTAATAATTTCACTTTTCTATTTTACTATTTCCTACAAATTATTTGTATCTGCCTAAATAGGGGAAATATCAAAGTTTATTATTAGAGAATGTTACATTCCACCTGACAGTTCGGCGGCTGTTTATGACTCATGCTGATACGGTCAATTCATTGTTATCTAACATGAGTGCGAATACAAATATATTTATATTTAGTGATTATAATTTACTAAATGATAAAATCGGATTACTTTATAATGGTATTAGATCTGATAAGAGTGATATTTGATTGTTTTTTATTATGTATCAACTTAACACAATTGCTAATAGTAATAGCTCTTATCTTCATTTTAATTTTTTATATGTCGATTCAGCCTCTTTTAGTAAAACTCCAGATATTTTGGTACCTTTAGACCTCTATCATTTAGCTCTTCTTTTTAAATTTCATTGAAATTTTTATGTTTTACTAACTTATTCTAAACATAAACAGTTCAATTGTAGACATGACCACTATATACTTATGATTAATGAACAAGCGTCAACTATAGTATGTTCAAATGTAATAATTAGTGATTGGAAATATCGAATAGTAACTATCGAACTACTCGATATCCATTCAAAAACTATTCGATAGTTTATGCTAAAAATAAGCTATTCGGTTGTATAAAAACCAATTCGATAGTTTAAAATATTCAAAAATACCTATCACTATAATAATATTAATTCTGTTTTTGATATATTTTATTCAATTAGTCTCCAAAACACTGAAAACTTTATTCTTATATTTTCTATTAGTAAACAAAAATTTCCTATTTGGTTCTCTAAAGACCTAAGGTTATTAATACGTGAAAAAATAAAATACATAAATAGATATACCACAAAGGGGTCACTTGTTTCCTTTATAATTTATAATATCTATGAAAAAGTTTCCATTTATTCATGTTTAATGTTCGCTGATGGTGTTAAAATATTTATTGAAATTAACAATATTACCTTAAACTTCAAGATGACATCCATAGGCTTCATAACTGGTGTATATTGAATAGTTTAACTATAAATACTTCTGAATGTTATCAAATATCATTATTTCGTAATAGGGAAATACATTTATTTAATCATACTATTTCTGGATCTAATTTAACAATTGTAAATGACATAAAAGACTTAAGGATTATCTTTCCTTTGGCCGTTCATTGAGCACATAACAGTTACATATAATATAGCATTAAGAATGTTAGGTTTTATTTGGAGGTTGTGTTGGGATTTTACTAGCATTACATGCCTAAAAGTTCTTTAATGTGCGCTTGTTTGACCTATAATTGAATTTTAATCTATTATTTTATTTCCTTATTAGAAGAATTTGGTAAATAAATTAGAAAAATTACAACAGATTTAGCTATTAAAATAAGTAAGTATGACTAGGATTTCTATGTAACAGCAACCGAATTATTATGTGTAACCCAGAATTTCGGAGACGTAAGGCCGACATATCATATCATAGTGCTATGGCTTTATAACACAATTGATTATCTTGATATCCTTAGATTCTTCTTCTTCTTTTTCCTAGCCTTAATTCCAACTAATTGGGGTCGGCCAGGTCGACAATCGACGTAAAATTGTTGTCCTGATTTTTGATTCCATTTGTTTCACGCGTTTCCTTACGTTTCACTCCCTTATTTTGTTTCTGACCATCAACAAAACTATAGTCACTTTTCACTGTTTAACAGTACGCTCTTAGAATGTAATTTTTTTGGTAATGAGTATGATTTTTTTAAAAACTTTCTAAACCAGGTTAAAAGTTACATCAAATTATTACACATATTGTAATTACTATTAAGAATTGATATATGTTTATGTGTCACTTTTATTTTGATTAATAGTTTATCTACACTATATTAATGTAATTTTTTAATTTTGTTTTAGTATTAATTTTTAAGTATTAGTGTTTATTTTATTTTTACTATGTTATATATATACATTGTTAATGTATGCTTTATGCTCATATTTGGATGTTATATTTAATAAATAAATAAATTAACAAGTACCTGCTGTAAGTAAAACAGTTTTAACCTGATGTATTCTGATTTCTGTATTTTTTATACCAAGTGTTTTCGCCATTTGATGTAACTAATCAAATATTAAAATTATGATATTTTAATCTATTATTTTTATTATAGTAATGGAAGTTGGCTGTCAAAGTCATAGTAGTACACGTCACCGTACAATTAAATTGAAATTATAATTTAAATGGTTGTAAAATTTATTTCAAAGTAAATATTATTTAGTGTTATCAATAATAGCAATAACAAATGTACTACTTCTGTCAATATATAATATAAGCATTTATATAACATATTGATAAATGGAGGACATTGTGGTGAAAATGACGTATCTACCAAAATTTAATTAAATTTTAGATTATTGAAAATAATGCATTTTTAATCTAACTCCACACAAAAAATATATATAAGACATAAATTAAATATAAATTTTAGATTTAATTAATATATTATGGAAACTCATAGAAAAACTTACACAAAACTTTAGACATCTACTGAAAGTTCAATTTCAAAAAAAGGCCATTTTTTCTTTTGCGGGTTAAAATATAATTCTTTTTAACAAGTTTCACATCTTCTTAGCTAAGTAACTTAATAATTTTATTAGAAAGGACGGGAAAACTTGTACAGTTCGGAGTACAAAATCAACCTTAATGCTTGCACTTCGAAAAACAAGAGTTCCCGAAAAAACCATACAGGTCACCTAAAAATAATATTTATTAGAAATAGATTGACGAATTAATAATTAATTACTAATTGTAATCGTTTTATAGTTTAATGATTATTATAATGTATTTAATTCAGTGACGATCAAATGATTTTACTATTTACTACCTTTATAATAAATATCATCATGGAAGCTGTGCACCCATACCTAAAAGCTTTTTTATTTGTATTAATATGTCAATATGTTATTAAAGATTATTAGATATGCATAAATGTCCTTCTTATTATGAATTGTATTTTATATATTTAATTTATTTTAGATAAGTACCTCATTGAGTTTATATAAGTATAAATAATAACCAAGACTTAAAATTTAATCTCCTAAATTTTTAGGGTTATATATTTGTCCATATAAATTCTACTCAATAATTTTTAAATTGAATTGTCATATATAATTTATGAAATATAAAATATATATGATAAAAATTGTAAAAAAGGGTTTGTCAATAGGGGATATATCCCTTAATACCCTCCTTCCTATTTGACCGCCACTAATTTCACTATTATTGTAATGATCTTGTATAACATTCAAACTTTAGCCATAACTATTAAGCTGTACATTTACCTAATAAAAGCTATTAAAAAAAACATTTGATTATCCAGTTCCCTGGAATGTACTAGAAGGGCAACGGCCTTGGAAACTCAAAAATTGTAGCGGCCTTCTACGCGCAAAAAAAAAACTGAATTGCTTTTAAAAAAATCGTCAATATAAAATAAATAATGAGACTTCCATAAATTTATTTTATCTTGAATACGCTGTTCAGACTAACCAGGATCACGTTATAAACAACGGTCAAGGGGACCTGTAGAAGTTCCTCATAACTGTCTTAGCTAAAAGTTGAGTATGGATAGTAAGAAGATTCCAAAAACTCATTACTGAAAAAAATGAAATGGATGCTATCAAGCATAATATTCCCAATACCTCTCGTTTTAATGACTTCCTTATGAAATTAATCTACATTTGTTTCATCACAAATCACTATGATAATACAAGGTTTCATCGTATCAACTAATTTAACTGTTGTTTTTAAAATAATGTGATTTTTGAGGTATAATTTTGCAAAGAATACCATTGTAATTAACAAAAAAAATGTAGACATAGTAGTACGTAGTAAAATACTACATATTTGAACTCTCCCTCGATTACTTAGAATTAGTATAAATTTTGATAACATTCTCTAGAAGAAATATTAAATTTTATTTTAAATTGGAATATACTATGATATTGTTGATATGAATTAAATAAAACCAGCAAATCTGTCGGTACGTAGCATACACACGAAGTTTTAAAAATTATTTTAAAATCTAGAATTTATTGAAATATTTAAAAAATAAAATAAGTTTTTAATAAGTTAAATACTTATCAACACTTAAAAATAAATATAAGGACAGTCTAACTCGTCTGAACACTTTATATAGAGTATGACTGAATGAGTATATTCATATTCATGAACAAACTTTTATTTAAAAGCAAAAAATATTTTGTTCACATCCTATCCTTTTCACGTGAATATACATACTGAAAATATAATTACATTTGTGAAATTTAAATAACGTTTTCCCCTACGTCATTTAGAGATTTGTCAATTATTATAGTCTATTAGCTAATCAATAGTCAAACATTCATACCGGTATATATTAGGTGTCAGGTGTATCTTCTATATAATCCCATGACAAAAAAATGCTTACCACTAGCATTAATACCAAGAAGTACAATAAGATGTAATTATCTTTTTTTATTTACCAATGAAAAATAATAAATGTTAACAAAATGTCTAGACATGTCGCATTATTAAAATACTTGTTTTTAGCCTTCCTAGTTTTACACTATTAGTAAGGGACGGTTTTGTATTTACTGGTGGTTCAATTCATCATCCTTGATTACACCTATATTGTACTTTATAAAGAGAATGATAAAAGAAAAAAAGGGGGTTTTTCACAAGCAACTTATTAGTATTAATGTATAATCTACTGATACTATAATTTTACTATAGATTAAATATATTTAAATATTTCAAATTCATATACATAATTAATACTATCGAAATTAAAGAAGACATATAACTGCATTAAATAATTCAGTTTAAATCGAGTAACTGTGCATAACAATCACGTAATAATCTAGTTGTGAAATCACAAACAAATAACATTATCATTATTTCTTATCTTAACGCCAAACAATCATAATGTATATTTTAAATGATAACCATAATTATACCAAAGAATTCTGATTTTATATTCAACTTTCTTAATGAATTGAACAACTTTAATTGAAATTATTTTAAATTGACGTAGTTTATACAAGCTAAAAATTTATTTTATTTATTGAGACAAATTTAAAAATGTTACGTAAATTTAGTAACAAAAAATAAGAATTATTATTATCCATTCGGATTCTGTATGGGTATTGATCAAGGTATAGCTATTTGATATTTTTTTGTATATAACTAAAACTTGACAATAATATTATAAATTATTTTGTTTTAGGTAACATGTTTTCTTAATATGTTGTGATTCTTTTATATCAATGAGACTAAATGGAATCATGGGTACACCAGGTAACATAAAATTATATTTTAACTTTTATCATTAAAATTTTAATTACATTACACTTCATAGATTCTAATTTTGAAAAATATTAATGCAGTTTTTAATAGTATTATATTTTTTTCATCATGATTAAATTATGATAAATCAATTATTTTTTTATTTGTCTGATCTATTTTTGATGAAATCATAACTTATTTAAAAAATATTTCTCATTTTTAAAACTGATTAGTTACCATTAATTTAGGCATCTTCTTTCATAAACTTATTAATGGAGTGAATTGTATAATCTTCTTTATACCAAAAATATTTAGAATATTGGCTATCCTGACTATTAAAAAAAAAAAGTATATTTAATAATTAAATATAATGTTTTTATATCTTTTACAAAATAAATTATTTTTTATATTATGGCTAGGAAGATAAATTCAAGTAGGTCTTTAATTAAGTTGATATATAATTATGTAGTAAATTAATAATCAATTTATAAAAAAGTTATAATTCATTTTACAGAGAAAATTAAACCACCACCACCTCCAAAGCCTATCTCATTGCTTACAAGTTTAGGAAATTGTAATTGTGATGAAACTCAAAAGTATGCACTATATAAATATTATATTTTTATTAAATTAAACACTTTAATATCTAGATTAACAAATATTGTTTTATAATAACTAAATATTTATTTAACTAAGTAAAATTAAAACTATATTAAAAATATTATTAATTTAAAAAACTAAAAAATATTAAAAATATTTTTTAGTTTTAATTTTACTTAATTAATTAGCCACAAGTGATCAATTTTTATTATATATTTATTTAACTATTAATATAAGTATGATTTATAATTTAATTATTTGTAAAAAATCACAAAAAATACTTGAAAACTAAAATAAAAAAGTTAATTTCATTAATTTAATATTTTAATTTTTTTCGAGATTCTTAAGCAAATTGTTTTTAAATGGATAAATAATTTTTTTCTTAAATTAAATCTTAAAACTAATTTCTAATCATGTTGGTATATATATATTCATATAAACTATGTATTCTTTTATACGAAGATGCAAATCTAGTTTAATTAATAATAGGTTTTGCTTTACCAATATAATACGCTTTATTATATTACTTTCTTAACTACTTTCTTTTATTTATTACCTTTTGGTGGAAGGTACCAGAGTTTGATTTTGTTATGATGGCCCATAAATTCTTGTCTTCTTTGCCACAAGCAATAGCTTTTATAGAGGCTATAAATCATAAATAAATAGCAACAGTAATAATATTTATATTATAAATTTATAGGTTTTGTTCAAAACATAAAATGGTTACCACAAATGATAATGTATCTACCTTAAAAAGTCAAATTGAATTTTCAGTAACTAAGTCTACCATCAAACCTCCATTACTTCCAAAACCCAGTAATATTGTTTACAAAAGTAGTCCATACAAAATAAAACATAAATTTCCCAGTGTAAGTCATCAAACCATAGAAGATGGAGAAAAGACTGTTGATTCCATTGAAAATGAAATTATTGACATCAAAATTCACGAAGAGAATAATATATTTAGGAAAGAATCAGAAAATGAAAGTGATGTTAATTCGAATATTTCCAATTTAGATATTCCTGTACATATAAATAGTATTTTAGAAAGTAACATAACTGATAGTGAAAATAATAATAGTAGCAGTATTAACAGAAAATATATCAATGATGATTCAGATTATGAATTCCCCAATGAAAGTTTATTAGATGATTACGTAGTTTATGATACAGATATGTTAGGAATTTCTGTGAATCAAATGGATAATCAAAATATAACAATTGATGATGAAAAATTATCAATTACAAGTGATTCAACTGAACTGTATTCTGTAAGAAAAAAAATTGTAAATTGGTTTGGATCATTCGGAAAGGGAAAAAAAAAAAAAAAAAAACGTGACTCTTTTAACAGCAGTCAAAATGAAGAGCATAATTCTGATAAAGATGAAAATGATACAGACTCACATTCATCTATAGAAGATAAATCAAATGAAAAACTTGAACTTGAAGAATCATTATCTATTGAAAATGTGGAACCAGATGAAATAATTCCATTTAAGAATAAATCATTGAGAATTGTTGAAGAATTAATTACAACCGAAAAAGATTTCATTGACGTTTTAAAATTATTATGTCAAACATTTGTTTCATTTATTGATCAGTCATGTAATGACTTTAAAATTATACCCCCAAATGATTTAGCTAAAATAATAAACCCACTTCCCCAGTTGCTCAGTCTAAATGAAGATCTTTTGCAAGATATGGAAAAGCGTTTAGAAAATTGGGATAAACATCCTAAAATTGCTGATGTTATTGTGAAAAAAGGACCATTTCTTAAACTTTATTCTACATACATTCAAAATTTTGAAAGTCAGTGTAATTTTTTAGATGAATGTTGTCACAAGTATCCTAAGTTTCATAAATGTATTCGAGAATTTGAAGTATCTGATGTATGTAGAAAATTAACAGTTAAACACTATATGCTTAAACCTATTCAGAGAATACCACAGTATAGATTGTTGTTAGAAAGTTATTTAAAAAATCTTGATGAAAATTCAATAGATTATAAAGATACATTAACTGCTTTAAATATTGTCTGTGATGTGGCTAACCATGCTAATAAAAGTGTTAAGCAAGGGGTAAGTGATTTTTAGTAATTACTTGACGTTATAATTAATATCAATACTATGCATTATAAATTTAAAAACTAATAGTAATTTTAATGTGGTTATTTAGTTTTTCAATTTAAAAAATATTTTAAGTAGAGAAAACTGAATATTATTTAATATTGGTTGATTTGAATTGATTAAATAAAACTAGTTGTTGTGATAAATTAAGTTAATGTAAAATCCAGAAGATTGATGGTGTGTTTATTTTATGAAAAATTTATCAGTACAACTAGTTATATATTTTTTTCTTTGCCTGGCATAATATAAGCCACTCTGCAACTACCATCAAACATTCCTTCAAGGCACCCCATGTTATCTCTAAAACTCACAATACGACGTACAAGGTCTCTCGATAGACACGTGCTGCACTGTGTAAAGTCTTTGCAAAATGTTAGGATAGGAATATACTTTATATATTTTTAATCTTTAAAGTTAAAAATTTTTGTATTTTATTAAGTTTTGAATGTTACAATTTAATATATAATATTACTTATGCTTTAAATTGATTAAATCACATTACATATCCTTTTTTTTTTAAGGACTCTTTGAGCAAACTTTTGCAAATACAATCACAATTAGGAAACTATGTTATAATAAAACCTGGTAGAGAACTCATTAAGGACGGAGAACTTTACAAGTTATCCAGAAAAGATATGCAATTGAGATATTTTATTTTGGTAATATTTAATAAAAAAAAAATTATTAAAATTTACTAATTTGAAACTTTGTTTTTAGCTCAATGATTGTTTTTTGTATACATCATACTATGGTACAGTGTCTGGATTAAAAATAAATTATGAACTTCCACTGAGTGGAATGAAAGTATTTATACCATTGACTGATGATCATTACAATGAATTCAATATAATTACAATAACTCGGAGTTTTACTTTGAGAGCTAGGTAAATTGAATGAATTATTTTTGTGATTAATTCATATTAATAACTAGTATTTTAGATCTTTATCAGAAAGAGAAGAATGGGTTACTAAATTAGAAGAAGCTATTAGAGAGCACAACAATAAACAGCTATCATTTTTAAATATGAAATTTGTTCCAAAAAATGCAGGTTGTGAACCTTTAAAATTAGGTCATGAGGTAATTTTTTAATATATTTTATTATTTAACAAATTACTACATTACTTAAGTATAAAATTCAGGCGCCAATTTGGATTCAAGACTGTCGTGTTACTATGTGTCAATCATGTGCAGCAGAATTCACTGTGACTTATCGTAGACATCATTGTCGAGCCTGTGGAAAAGTTAGCATAAAAATGTTATTTATCATTTAAAATTATCTACAAGGTTATAACTGCTTTTATAAAAAATATATAGGTTGTTTGTGGAAGTTGCTCAGAAAATAAAGCGCCATTACATTATATGAAGTTTCAATCAGCAAGAGTATGTGATGATTGTTTTGATTATTTGCTCAAAGGTTTGTTTACCATAAAATGTAATTATTTGTTGATATATTTTTTACATTTTCTGTAGAAGTTGAAGATAAAATTGTGGAATTACGTCAGGGGTCTAATTTTGGCAACTTAGATATTCTAAATAAATTAGATGCAATAAAAAGTTCTTTTAAAAAATCTGGACTATGGAACACTAAGAAACTTGTGAAATATGTACCACAACGGCTAAAAGAAGTATGTTTTGTTTTTAGTTTAATTTAAAATAACTCAAAATGTTATTTTTAGTTTTTAAATTAGATCTTTCCCTAATTAAAATAATTAAGTTACATATTGTAGGGAACAAGAATATTTATCAAGTTCAGTATAATTGTTTTGAATTTTAATAACTAGCACATTATAGTAAAATAATTTGTAGTTAAAACAAAAATATATTATACATAAAGTATTTGATTATATTTTTAGATAATATTCAAAGTAATTAAAGTTTAAAATATGTATGCTTATTTAATTTGTTAATATTATAATTACTTTGAAAATGTATTATAGGAGATGGAGTTCTTTTCTAGTTTAAGTTTAATATTTAAATTTAAATTATGTTTCTTTTGAAGAGATGTTTTAAGTGCAAAAGAATATTAAAAATGATCACAAAGTATTTTAAGTTATTTTATTCTTATTATGGTAATAAAATCTCCGAGCATTATTGATCAACTTTATTAATAATTAAAATCTAAAAAAAAAAAACCCCCAACCCAGCACAGTGGGAATGTGGCATAGTTGGGTCCAGAATAGATGATATCTATATTATGATATCATTATGATTATAAACACTATTATAAAAAATGCTTCGATGCAAATCGGTGGATAGTGTTAGATTTTAAGAAATTGGTGGATAATTACAAAAGTAACATCAACTCCTATTTCCTTATTTATATTCTGATTTCAAGTTTTATGATTTATAAGTATAATATATGAACAAATATATATATAAATAAAATATAAATAGTACTTACCTTAAAAAAAATATAATGATCCATACATTTTTCAAAAAGTTATAGCATTATAAAGTTAAAATATGAAAAAAATTTTTTTACAAAAATCGTTTTTTTTTTTATTAACTTTGATGTCTGTTTTCACCATGAAAACAAAATAAATTTTTATTTTCATATTACAATATATTATATAAGCTTTAGTAGAAATATATATATAAGTGCTAGTATATCTGGAACACTTCCAAAATTTAAGCTGAAAACTTCTACTTCCTATATGCATTTTTAAGTTTTGAATCCCTTGAATAAAGAGAAATGGTCCGTTTAAAAAAAAAAGTATGTCTCACAAAAGAAGTATATTAATAGTAGTTATCATAAAAAAATTATAATGATCCATACATTTTTCAAAAAGTTATATAAATATAAAGTTAAATATGTAAAATATAAAATCGAGAATTTTCACACAAAAACAGCATTCAGTAGCTATTTTCACCCTGAAGACAAAATAGTCCAAAATTTTTTTTTTCCATAATAAAGTATATTACATTAGCTATAAATTAAAATATATATAAAAACGTCAGTATTTCCGAAACACTTTCAAAAGTTAATTTTTTTTGAAAAAGTTGTCATTTTGTATCCCCCTCTATGGGCAGGTAAAAGGTCAGATTTATAAAAAAAATATCCAAACAACAGGTAAGTACCTCGCGTGTCTATATAAAAATTTCGTGCTTAGCAAACAGCTTGATCATATTAGTCACGTTAAGCATTACTACACTACTGATTAAGCCACACTAACTTAATCAAATATTATTACTATAAAGTAATTGTATTTTTCAGGTTATGGCTAATGATTCAGGCTCACAAATGAGTGGTTGGTTATATCGTCGTGGTCGTAAATCATGGAAAAGATTTTGGTTTGTACTAAAAGAACAAGTTTTATATACTTACAAAGCATCGGAAGATGTAGTAGCTTTAAATACAGTGCCAGTATTAGGTTATAGTGTTCAAACATTTCCTGAAGTAAGTATTTTATTGATGTAGTATATGATTTATTATAAAATTAGAATTTACTATTAACTGTGTTTTTCTATGGTAACTATTTAATAATTATGATATTACTATAATATAATTTACATAATTATATTATTTTTAAATCTAATATATATATATATTCTTTTTCTAAGACATTTTTTAATAGTTTTATTTTTATTAGCCAATGAAAATAGTTAATTCCTAGTAATAGTATTTACTTTCTGTATGTGGTAAAATATGTTTAGGTTACACATTATTGAACCAAAACTGTTAATTTAATAATCAATTTTTTTTGTGAAAAATCTTCTAAAAATAGCTGTATAATAAAACTAAATTAATTATATAGATCAAATTTTCATAAATTTATATAATACACAGAGATTTTAAGTGACATTTTATGCATACATGATTTTTTACAAAATTTTATGTAATAAATGATATGGTAGAATTTCAAAATGTTCGATTAAGGTTTATAAAACCTAAAAAATAGTTGAAAAAATTAGCAAATGAAACAAAGAATAACTTATTTTAACTTTTTCACTTGTTACTTGTTGATTCTCCTATACATATTAGAGCATTGTTTTCTTATTTTATTGCAACCTTCATGAAAAATTTTGTCATTTGTACTGTGCTGTGCTACACTATACTTGAATATTCATCATCTTACCTTTTTAATAAAAGGATTTGTTCAACATTTAACAAATAAGTCAATATAAAACTTAAATAAACTGATATATAGTTTTAATTCAACTTGAGAATGTATTATGTATCTCAGAAAATTAGAATTTAGAAAATACATAAGATATTTAGCTTGTTTTAATGTATAATTAAAAAGATTTTTCCACCTAGACACTATGTAAAATTTATTTTGATAAAAATAATTTTATGATACTTATGACTTATATGCATTTATAAATTTTTTTTAACCATTTTAAAAGACCAAATTTTGTTCAAGTATGTTATTGGAATATACAGTAAAGTAGAATTTTTTTTTTTTTTTTTAAGTGAGAATAAACCCCCTATCTCTATCAACACTACATTTTCAGATAGAGCTCTTTACTGAGTTTTCAAGTCTATTAATACAAATTTGTACTAGCTGATGTGTTTGGAATAATTTAATCAAATTTATAAATGAAAATAAATACCGACTCTATTTATAAGTTTATTTCAATTTTAATTATGGAAAGAAAAGAAAAATATAATTTTTCAGTTTATTGTGTTCATTACATGTGCAGTTCTGATAATCAAAATTCTACTGTTATTAATGAATTATTGAAAAATTTATTTTTAGGGTACAAATTATGAGGATTTTGATTCTAAGTGTGTATTTCAATTAGCCCATGCTGGACAGAGTCCATTGATATTTTGTGCAGAAATTGAACAATTAGCCAAAAGGTAATTTTTTAAAAGTATTAAGTATTGTATTACTATATATTTTATTGCAAACTAATTTAATCATACACTTAAGTTTCTAGTGAATGCTTTTTTCATGTGTTCTGAACAAAATGTTTGTTGTGAAAACATTTTACGTGACATTCTTTCAATTTTACAAATTTATTTAATTGAAAATTAGCAACCTTTGTTATATTTCAATAATGCCATTATAGAAATTGATCTTCAATCTAAATTGTTCCTATAATTAACTTTATCTTAAGTAATTAGAATATAGATTATTATTATTTTATATAATAAATCTTTGAAACTTCTTTGAAAATCTACATTTGATAGAAAAAAAAAAAATAAAATCTGCATAGCCCTGTGTGATGGAATAGAAACTCAGTACCTATGCACTATGGCATGATGTATTTTTGATTAAGCTATGTAGTATATATGTATTTATGACATTAAGATACTTTTTATGTTATAAACAATATTTTATAACTCAAGTACATTGATAATCTTAAAATTTAAATAATCTAAATTTTAAAAATCTAATATACTTTAACAGCAACGTTTACAGAATAATTTCTGAATAGTGCAAAAATTACTGACAACAGTGTAAACTATAAAGGTGATTCTTTACACCCCATAATAGATAGTGTAATATTTTTATCAAACCACCTTTTTTGCAAGACCATTTAATAACTAAAACAAATTTTTTGGAATACATTTTTTTTAAAGATTTGTAAATGAAAATTGATACACATTATTTTATAATAAGATTTTTCCAAACACTAAAATTAATATTGTTTTTATTTTCAGGTGGATTAATGCTCTAAACGAAGCAACTCAGTTAAAGTAAGATCTCTTATTCATATAACCTTATTATTAAATTATGTTAAATTTTTAAATATTAGATAAATTAATGTATACCACTACATTAAATTAATATTAAGGATGATTATCACTGAATTGGTGCTTAAGTATTTAATGTAGTCCTTTAAATTAATGTTATTTTTTGAGAATATGGCTAACCAGCTGTTATATTTTTTAAACCTGTGTCTTATATTTTTATTCTATTCCATTTGAATTATTATTTGTTTTTGTGTGTTGTGTGATTTATCTTTAAATATTATTTTATTTATTTATTTTTTAATAACCAAATTTTATTTTAATATTAATTTTATTATAAACATTTAAAGTTTTACTCTTATTATTGTCATTTTATTAATTAGTAATTATTATTGTATTTCTATTATATCGTTGAAAATTTAGTATTTTATAGAAATAATAGCTGTTATACAGTACAAACTAATTATAAAATGTTTGTTTTTAATAAAAATTAGTTTTATAAAATATCCTTTATATTCTTATGGTATTAAAATGTAGTTCCTCGGATGTTAGCTTCGATGCGAAGCTGAGAAGGTATTAATTTTACTATGATGTGTTTTTTTATTTTTTTTTGTGTCTGTTACCACTTTTTTTCAGCTCTCACCGAACCGATTTCTTTCAAAAGATCACAAATCGTATGTAGTCGAAGACATTACCCTCAAAAATTGAAAAAATGTCCCTCGTTCCCCGTAAATGAGGGAAATCTTCAACAAAATTACAAATTTAAAAATCGCTTATTTTCGAAATTTTTTCAATTTTTTTTACTTAAAACTGCCATAACTTTTTCAAAAATGAATAAATCAATATAATTTTTTTTTATAGATGCTTGATGTCTTTACCTATCAATTGGTATATTTTTTTTATAAATTTAACCCTTTACCAGCCCACGGGGGGGATTCAAAATGACAACTTTTTTACAAAAAATCAACTTAACTTTGAAAGTGTTCCGGAAATACTGACACTTTTATATATATCTTAAATTAAAGCTATTGTAATATACATTATTATGCAAAAAAAAAATGTTGGACTTTATTTTGTCTTCACGGTGAAAATAGCTCCCATATGCTCTTTTTGTGTTAAAATTCTCGATTTTATATTTTACATTTTTAACTTTAAAATGTTATAATTTTTTGAAAAATGTATGTACAATTTTTTTATGAGAAATAATATTTATATACTTCTTTAATTTGACATACTTTTTTTTTAAATCGAACCATTTCCCTTAATACAAGGGGGGTTCAAAACATAAAAATGCATATAGAAAGTAGAACTTTTTCAACTTAATTTTTGAAAGTGTTCCGGAAATACTGACACTTTTATATATATCTTAAATTAAAGCTCATGTAATATACTTTAATATAAAAAAAAAAAAATTTCGGATTTTATTTTGTCTTCATGGTGAAAATAGCTACCGCTTTCAAAAATATGCTATTTTTGTGTTAAAATTCTTGGTTTTGTATTTTATTTTATTATTAGGGGATTACACTGATTTTCATAAATATTATATCAATCTAATTGACATAGTATAAAAAATTAAACATATTTAAATTTTTTTGTTTCTTTGAAGTCGAGAAAAATAACTTTAAAATTTGAACTAGCTAAATTTCCATTTTTATTAAGTGACGAATGAGACGGTAACATTTGGGTCTTTCATGCCTATGGCACTGAATTTTTTCTTAATTCTTTTTGAGTTAGAAAAAAATGTTTAACTCATTTGATTTTTATCTCATTTAGATTCTAAAACTTCAATAAATATCAAGGATCCCATTACTGTAGTCTCCTCTCATGAGAAGAAATTCATATTAATATTATTTTACTATGGGGTTTTTTTGTGTAGCTATTATTTATTTTCTCAGCTCTCACTTGACCTACTTTTTTGACAAATTTTTTTTTAAATTAAACTATCTACAGATTTGCATCGAAGCGTTTTTTATGATAGTGATTTTAATCACTGTCAGATATCATCTATACTAGAACCAACTATGCCACGACCCCACTGTGCTGGGTTTTTATATGATCAAACATTTGGGTTTATATCCTTTTCATTTGAGAACACGAACTATTAATTATGAAAAAAATATATGTTCAAATAGAATGTTAATATTTTGTAATACTATTTTAATTATCAAAATGAAATTTAATTTATTGATTTATAAGTATTAACAAAAATACAAAGAATTATTTACATCAACAAATGACAAAATTATTATAAACATAATAATGAGTAATGATATAAATAGTAATACAGCTACTTAAAATAAAATAAAATAGTTAATTTATATAAATTATATCTAAGATTTAAGTCAAAAAAGGCCAATCCATAAAATAAGATAATTTTTCAAAAAAAATTATATATATATTTACATTTTTTAGAAAACATAAAATACAAATGTTCTTAGTAAAAGAATAGTTAATTTTTTTTTAATAGAAAATTGAACAATGTTGCTATTATACAATACACAGTTTGTACAAACAGAAAGATTCTTTTATTTGGATTAATTATAAGAATTTATTTGTGTTGTGAAAAATTGAATATGTTATTTAAAAAATTCCATTTATATAAATTAACCTTTTTAGACCCAAACATTGTATGGGTTATTCATATACAGAGTGTTCAGTAAGTAAGGGAACGGGTTTCTATTGTTTCTATTGTTTTCATTGTAACAATTAACCTATTACTGAACATTCCGTACATTTAATTTTGTATAACATTTAATTTAACAAGGAAAATGTTATACAAAATTTATAGAATACAAATAATGAACTTAATATTAAAAATATATTAACAAAAACAAAATTTATTTTATAAATCAAAAATAACAATTTGACATCATGAAAATTAGATATTTTAATTTTATATACATCCCAATTAAATATATAAGGAAATGCTGCAACCAATATTATAAAATCTACAAATATTTTTTCATGTGGTAAATTGTTAATCATGTATTTGATATCAAAACTTTTTTTTTTTAAATGTAGTTTAACTTAAATTATAACATATCCACGTAGAATTTTATGTTGCATACAGTTTAATAACATGATAAAACAAAGCTTAAATTTATAAAATTAAGCAAATATACATTGACTTAATAAAATATTCATTAACTAATAGTTGTTTTAATTAACAAGTTGCTTAAAAACAATACACCAAGAAAGTAAAATAATAATAATTAAGGGGGTAATTTAATAATAAAATATTTCTAAATTTAACAAGGTAATAAATAAATACTACTCTTATTATCATTAAAGAATACTTTTAGATTTCTTTTTTTTTTTTAATAAGTACAATAACATGATACATCATAGAAATAGTATGAAATTGTATAATTAATTTATCAATCTGCTTGCTATAGATAAAACTAATTTAAACTATATTTTATTTTTTATTGCACACTTTAGCGGTTATTATTTATTAACTCATAGAAATTAAAACCCGTATAAGGGGAAAGGGTAAAATATATTCTATATCACTTAAACTTTCTATCACCAGTTGTAAAATTTATATTGCCTAAATAATAAATATAATTATTGACTATGAGAACACAAATAAGACAAAATATTGCTCTACTTTTTACAAGATCTCCTGGATAAACCAATTCAAGAGATAAAATTTTTAACTATTAAAAATAATAAAAAGCAGTCATAACAGTCATTTATTTATCATAATAAAAAAGGAAAATTTTAATTTAAATATATTTAAACTTCAAATTTTTACTAATAAACATAAAGTTCATAGTAATAGATTATCAAAAATTATTTTATTTTGGCAGTAAAAATAAATGTTAGTCTCAAAAACAATTCAACAACAAAAAAATGGGTTCAAATAGTACAAAAAATTAAATTAAACTATACTTAAAAAAAGGAACAGTAATCATATATAAGCATTTAAGAATTGACACTTTCAACAATAGTATTTTTAATTATTTCTCCTAAGTTATCTGACTCAATAGAAAAACTATCTTTTTTTTGCGGGCTAGGAATATTAGGTACTACAGTAGTATTATTAATTTCAGCTTCTGGAAAACTATAACAGTCAACAAGCTCTGTAAATGTTTCGGGTTTATAATCATGAAATGATTTCTTCATTAAATCATTAGCAGGAGGTAAAAGATTAGAGGAAAAATGTTGGTACGTTTCGTAAGAAGTAGAACCTATATTTTGATGAAAGACAGTATGATTATTACTTTCCACTGTAAAAGGATGATTATCATAAATTGGTAATAAAGAACCATAGTTATAATCTTGTGTATTTAAGCCATAGTTAAGAGATGAGTAGTATGGTTGAATATTTTGTGAGTCGTAAGGAAAATTGGATAACAATGATGATTCTGACTGGGCTAATTTATTTTCTTCTTCTAGAGTTTCTTTCTTTTTTATCTCAAGTTTCATTAAGGTATGTATAAAATGTTTTCTTACTCTTGTAGGATTAAACTGAATACGACCAACTGAATTTCCACAACCATCAATAGTACATCCACATGGAAAATTCATTCGATCAACCTTAAAAAACATATTTATTTTTTAAATTTAGTAAAGATTTCTACTTTTATTATTATATCAAAAAAGAAAAACTAGTACAGTGGGAACATAGCATAGTTGGGACAAGTATAGATAATATCTGAATGATTAAAATGATTATCATAGTTTTTATGATAATCAAGCGTTTTGCTTGATTCAAATCTGTAGTGATTAATTTGTAGAAGAAATTATTGGATTTTATCATAAGCAAATTTACTCCTATTTTCTTAATTATTCCACGATAAAAAGCTTTATAAATTATAAGTATCATACAGGAATAAATATATTATAAAAATTAAATTTAATATGAAATTGATACTGAATTATTTAGTATTGTAATTGTTATGGAGAAATTATAAAAAGTTTTCTAAAAAAAATTTATCAAAAGAAAAGGAAAGAATGTTAAACTATAAATTTGATTATTCTGACCTTTTTTAGTTATTATTCCAGTTATGAAATTGAAATTTATTCCTATTAATTATTTTAATTAATTTATATTAAAAGTTACAAAAATAATTCTTAAAAATATTTATAAATAAAATTTAAATATTTTTTATTATTTATTTTTTGAAAAAGGGAGATTAAGGAGATTCCTACTCCTTCTTTTAAAATACCGTTTAACCTAAAATGTAGACATAAATAATTGGAAAAATATTGAAATAGAAAATTATGACACGAAAAATACTGATTTTTTACATTAAAATAAAATTTTTTTTTAACTTTGGGTTATATATAGAAGATAAGGTAGAAAATCATTTTTATTTTTAACTTTAGTATGTAACATAAGCTTTAAATTAACATATGTTTGAAGCTTGGTATATATCTGGAACATTTTCAAAAGTCAAGTTGAAAAAGTTTAATTTTCACATAATTAAAATAATAAAAATATTGGAGTACACAGAGAATGCATTTGGTGTGTTTTGTATAACAACTGTGATAAACACTGGTAGTACACTAAAATGGTAGTACTCAAATTTTTATACATTTTTTAAGAGTGCAAAATGATTATAATGTTTATAATTTTCTACCCCTCTAATAATAATAATAAATAGACACTTTAATATTAGAATAATGAAAATGTCTTGAGTTAAATATATTAATATCAACATACTTGGCATGTAATACCCGCTTGAAAGCAAGCACAAGTATCTGGATCACAAAATCCTCGACACAAACATCCACAGAATTCTCTAGATAGTCGTATATTTTTGCAATCATCTTTTTCTGAAGCATCAATTTTTTCTACTCCAGCAGCTCTTAATAAAGCACGCCTTTGTCGGGAAGGAACTGGCTATACATTTCAAAAAATATATGCAATTAAAATTGTTAATGATTATATAATAAGAATTAATCACTTGTGGTTAATATTATTAAAAATATTAATTTAAACAAAATATGATTATTAATTAATAATGATTACTCTATAAATTAAAATACAACTATAATATAATTTTTTATCACAAGTTAAAATAGTTCAAACTATAAAAAATGTTTTAATAAAATTCTTTATATTAACTATTTATAACTACTTATTGTTAATAAAGGTTATATTACTTTAAAAAGTTTAATAATTAAATGATAAATACTGAAATGAATATTTTACTAATTTATAAATATTAATACCTGCAAAAAGCAGCCATTACTATCAGAGTCTATATCAGCCTCAGATTCCGAATAGACATCATTAGCACCTGTATCACTATCACTATCATCGCTGTTTATTACTGAAACTTCAGAATTATTCATGGTATACATATTTCGTCGTATCCTCCTTTGTTCAGACATATATTCTGGCAATGAAAATATTCGTGATGCACAATGAACTCTTGTCATTCCAAGTGTAGAACCACCCTTAATTAAAAAACAATAATATTTAAATTATAATACTTTATTAAAAAAAATAAAAAATTTTACTTGTGATGGAACACATGTAAATCCTTGAACACGAGGAAAATAAAATACTGTTACATTAGCAAAATTAATATTTTTGCGTTTTTTTGCAGTTACAACTGCATTTGTTGTAGAAAGATAATCTGTCCTACTGTGTTTCAGAATGCCTTTGATTAACTTTGATTTACAATTATTTTCAGCTGTATTAATTTCTAAAACTGATTCTGTAAATTTTGGTTTTAGTACTTCCATAGCTGATAAAAACTCATTAGATGTTCTTTTTAAGTCTTCAAAAGTTGATTCAGAACTTGAAATAAATTCATTTTTATAAGATAAATTTGTTAAAGAATTCAAAAATTCAGAATTATTTTTCTCTTCAATCATTTCTGATCCGAAGCCTGAATCACTACCATCATATCTATCCTGTGAGCTATCTACATTACTTTGAACAGATGTTAAACCAGTAAGTGTCATATCATCATTATTTATAGAATAATTGTTAAAATCAGAAGTCTTATGTACATCTACATGATTTAAAGATGTAGTACATATTTTTTTTACAGGAGAATCTATGAAATAACTGTTTGTTCTTTTAAATGGTGTTAAATTATTAATTGAATCAACTTGTTGACTTAAAAAACAAGTATATTCATTAGAACTTGTTGCCGAGCTATTTAAACAAAGAAAATTTTGAGAGTTTTCATCATTGTTGCTGTCTACATTTGTAAAACTATTTGTTTTTTGATTTTTACTGTTTAGATTATTATAGCTGGTTTCATATTTACTTATATAAAATTCAGTACTATTTAAACTTCTACAGGTTTTACTATCATTCATACATACTTCAGTATTACCAAAACGTCTCAATTCACAATTATCTACATTTTTTTCAGGAGTTTTGATATTAGAGTTTATTGAAATAATAGAGTTCATTTCATGGAATTTTGTTTCATTAGATGTATTTTGAATTGATACATCTGTTTCTGATAAGTTTTTTGAAATATCTAAATAGTTTTTTATAGTACTTGAAGTATTTGTTTCATCATCCTTGAAAATTTCCGTGTAATGTTCACTTGTACTACAACCCTTTATAGGATTATTTGTGTTTTCTTGTTTCATTTCTAAAGTTTTTTAAAACACCTGTTACAAAAAAATAAAAGAATAAACAGTGATTAATTACTCATTGATATAAAATTTATGTTTTTAGATAATAATTAATGATGCATATAACTATACAGGCTATTTGTAGACAAAATAACAAGTAAAACTAATCAAAGTTAAAATTATGTTGAAAACGCATAAGAAACATTAACACATAGAATCAATCTAAGATATTTATAAAAATTATCACTTAGTTCTATGTCAGTTGTATTATATATTTTTTCATATCTTGATGGTAAATTAATTTTTTTTTTTAATTAGAATTATTAAAGAATATAATTTCTGCGTCCTAACAATATGAATAAAGAACTTTTCATTTAACAATAAATACACTACAATAAATATTTATATAATTATTACCTGTATAGATAATTTACAGATCTATAGCTACATTCAACACAATATAATAAATATTTTATATTACATATATATTTTAAACATTTTTAAAGCAACTCAGTATTTAAGATAATTAGCGGAACAGAAATATATTATTTTCAATTATGATGAAGAATCAACTGGTAATGGTAATGCAATCGTCACAGACAACACTAAACAGACAACTACAGGTTGCATAACCCGTTCACTTTTAAAAAATAATAATAAAATTATATTGTTATTCCGATTGCTATTATCTTCCCGCCGCTGCACTCATTCATGTCTGATGTCAGATAAACTTATGAGTGTATACATACGTAGTAATATAACGCAACTATGCTATTATCACAGAATGCGATCATCAAACAATATTATTGGATTTAAGCTGTAATGTGATTATAAACGGAACAATGAGATAGAAGTAGTGTCGTTCGGACCCTGGGTGATCAGTAGTTACAGATTGCCGTGACAAGTAGTCTGTGGACGGTCATCTTTTTTTTTAACTTCAAACATTTTTCTACGTCAATAACAAGAGAATAATGGTGATCTATCTGCTGACGCATAAAATAATTGTAAATATTAAAAAAATGTACAAGGCAACCATACCTATGACCGCTTTCACCGTCACAGTATTTAAACGTATTCGTAGTTAACTAAATATGTGTGTGTATTACATATTTTGTTGTATATCATATCCTTTTTTAAGATGAACTACTTTAAAGTTTAATATAATTGATGTAATTGGAATTAAAATATTATTACTAAAAATTTGATTTATAATATTCGAAGCATGTTCATTTTATCTTAAAAATACAACTAAAAAGCAGGATTGAAAAAAACAATGTTTTTTTTAAATCAAAAAAATTTATTTTAAAAAATCGCAGACTGATCTATGACATAACATAATATTTCTCAATAGTGTAGTAATACCACAGAATAAATAAGATATTTAATAATATTTTACCAAATTTATTAATTGAGATAATAAGTGAATTAAATTTTTAATTTAACTCAAGTTTTTCATTTTGTTTAATAATTTTTTGTTAAATTTTAAAGTAATGTTTTTTTTTTACTTGTATGAAATTCTTTTATATTTAATTATGATTTATTATCAATACAATATTACATATTTCAAATAAAAATAAAGTAATTAAATGTTTTATGTTTATTACTTGACAATAGTGCTTCAAATTTTAATTATTTTCTTGGTTATATTATTGACAAAGATAAAAAAACCTAGCTTTGTTAAAGAAATCATTAATGGTAAAACTTGGAATTCCTAAGAGTAATGATAAGTTTTATGTTTGTTTATCAATGGTTAAAAATCACATTTTTATTAAATTTTGTTTTAAATATATCGATGATGTTTGGATAAAACTATCAAAATATACTCATTTTTACTTATAAATGTTTGACTTGAATAGTTTTTCCCACTAGAACTACCACAGAATTTTCTGTGTAAAATGTGATATTTGATAAATGAAAACAATAATTTATTTTTAAATTTTAATTGTTAACACAAAATAATTGTTTAACAGTCATACTATGTCAATTTAAAAATAAAATAAATTATAAAGACTGTATTTTAATTAAATAATAGACGCCTTAGCTGATTTGTCTTAATAAAATCCACTCGCATGTCTTGCCAAGTAGTACGACTGTGCACTACACGGATTTAGTTATCTGTTCATGTATTATTATTTAAGTCATTCATTAATAATAGTCAACAACAATAGGTATTTTGGATTCTATATTTAATAGTTTTGAATACTAACTATTGCATACTTAAAAATAAATTTTACATTAGTCGATAATCATTAGATTATTTACAAAACCATGTTAATTTTAAATCATTTGTTTATTTAATTTGATTTCGATTGTTAATCATACGATTATTATTCACTTTTTCGATTACTAATCCTTCAATTACTAACAACCTTACTCTTTCTTTTTTTTAGTGGGCAACGATAGTTCAAAGATAAACTTTATTATAATTAAAATTTGTCAATAATTTCTGAGAAAATATGCGTCTAACAAAAAACGATCACTTGTATAATAATACTTCAATTTATACAGGTGATCGATTTATCATAAATCAGTCGATTATTCGCAAAATAACTATCATAAAAAATTTGTTGATTTCATTTAGTTACATATATTTCTTAATTTATCAGCTAATAATTACTTTTTTAAATCATTCCTTATAACTTAAAGATGTATCAACTTTAATTTCTCATATGACAACGAAAATAATTAACTAGTTTGTTTAATAGATAATGAATGAATTAAGAAAATTACGGGTCGTAAAAACTTTTGGACCACTATTTCACAAGTTATTAACATGTTCTAGTCATGCCTAAAGGTAAGACTAGAGAGTTGTTATTTTTTATCAATAATCATTTCTTAGCTAGACTTCCTCCTACCTAGGTATAAAAATGTGAATAACTTCCAAAGTACTAGTTAAAACACTGTTATTAACCAGTCCATTTTCTTAATTTGATTATTTTCTATTTTATTAGCTAGTTAAATATATAAATTGCTTTTTAAAAATTCAATATTAACACCTTTTTAAGTTATAACGGGTGATTATAATGAGTATCGGTGGTCAACACACTAGTTATTGCTTCGAATTTTAAAAATATAGACCGAAAACGACACATTTATTTTCTTATTAAAAAGTATTCGATTTTTACAGAATTGTATTAAAAGTTTTTAACGCATGCAATGTAAGGGAAAATTTTGATAAATATCGTTAAAAGTGTTATATTTGTATATGATTTACGAAGTTGGGATAATATGTCAAAATTACACAATTTATATGTAAAATTAACGTAAAAATTAAAAATAAATTGGCCTATGAGAATTAATATTTATTAATTAAATAAATAAATAATATAATTTCTGATATAGTGTAAGCCATTAGTAAATATAGAGAGATATTTTCCAAGGTCATATTTAGCAGACTCGAGTAACTAAGCTATTACTATTATGTTTGGTGACTTAGTTCTCTACATCTATTGTATCTAAGAGAATTACTTTTAACTGAGAAACAACCTAGTAACATAATATTTTAATACCTGTGTTATTTTTTTAGTTTCGATTCATAGTTGAAAAGGTATTAATTTTACTATGACGTATCCTTTTTTAATGTCTCATCACTTTATTTCAGTTCCCAGTTGATTTCATTCAACGATACGTCAAAATATCACAAATAGTATATAGTTGAAGACATTGCCTTTATAAATAAAAAAAAAACCCCTGTAAATGGTTGAAATCCCTAATAAAAATTTTTGTTTTTAATTTCGGTAAATTTTGACATTTAAAAATTTGTTTGCATTAAGTCTATATGGAATTCAAAAAAAAAAAAATTTGGAAGTGTTTTCAAGCACTTCTAAGCATTTAACACTATGTATGCCTAGGGCAGTATTGTCTGTAAGTAAAATTTTATAATGGCAAATATTCATTCTTGTTCCTGTTGAATATCATTTAAAGCAGGAATAACAAGTTTTCTCTGCTTGGCTAGTGCATTATATTTAATTGTATTTTTTTTTTTGCATTAAAATCTTAATTTTACAAATATAGTAATAATCTGTAACGGATATCCTCTAGTCACTAGAAAATTATATAAACAATCAAGAAACATGATTGATCATAATGTTAGAAAAACAATGTTTCTAACATTAAGAAATTAAAATTTTTGAAAGAAGTTGTAATCAGTATACCTACTAATTAGACTAAATTAATTTTAATGCCCTATAAAATTATAAATACTATTGATAATCGCCTGGATCATTTTACCTTCGCATTAGAATACAAATTTTAATTCCAATTAAGTTACTTCAAATTAACTTAAAATAGTTAATTAGTTAGCGTTGTTACCAAATATTGAAAATGTCTACATTTGTTTTCTTTATATAATAACGGTAATATTATTTAGGTTAAATATTATCTTATGTATTTGTATCAATTTATAGTTTTTATAAGTACTTTATATTAAATAATAAAATAAAAAACACAGTTTAGTTGTTAACCGTGTTTAACATTAACGAGGATAAAGAATATTTATTTCATTTTTAATATATGTATGGAAGTTAAATACTTACAGTTTGTTTTGTCTTGATATTTTGTCAACTTCGTAATAATTCCATGATAGAGTATTGCTGTTTCTGAATTATTATAATCATAATATTTGGTTAAATTCTTGTATAGAATTCTATGTGATTTTCTGGAATGTTTACTTTATAAGAAAAAGCACAATAATGTTGTCGTTGATTTTTTTTTTTATTAAATATGCAACTTTATAATTGTTTCATAAGAGTCATTAAAAGAAAAGATTTAATGTAAGTTTGATAGTAAGATATATTTCATTATAACTGCGTTCAAGAGATTTATTTCAAACTGGTATTCGATAAGGAAAAGGGTTGCGCCAAAAGAGCGTTAAAGGTTATTTGTGTATGTATGTGTGGTTTTTGTTTGAAGGATGTAGTGGGCGGTCGACAACAATGAACGTAGGTAGGCATTACACCATGCTGTGTTATTCATACATATATACAGTTTAAGTATATACGCCGCCGCCGGAGCTTTTCGGTTAAGCTCGGTGGGTTGATGGTTGTTGTCGGGAAAGTTCGGGCCAACAGAAAATTATGCGTGCAATATTGATCTTGGCATTCTTTGATACCACACAAACGTTATTCTATGTAATAAATATCAATATATGTACATATATTGATTTTTTTATGTATCCTTAATAATTCTAAATAAATATTTTATTATATTACACAGTTTTTGTTACATGTCAAACTATTTGAGTACGAGGATAAAAGAGAAATTATGATTTTTTGATACCAAGAGATTAAAATTTGACTCAAATTAAATCAGAATTGCGAGTTAAACCAATAAGTATTTATAAAGAAAAGTTCAGCTTTGTTTTTTTTCGAAATTCTTTTCAAATTTAACTTTGAAGGTTTGGAATAAATGGTTAAACTTGAGTAATAGTCTAAAAATTATGAAAACATCTATAAAATATTACCTATTACAATTTTAAAAAAACTATTGGAAAAACATTTTTTTTGCTTTTTTCAATAAGTAATTAATTATGTAATGAACTTAACTTCACTAAGAAATAATTATTTCAATTAATGTGATGGATTTAAAAATTCTAAGGTCAAATGGGGATTCAGCAATTAAATTCCATTTAGAATCATCTTTCATAATATTTAGCAAAAAAGAATTTGTTTTGTTGTTCAGTCTTTTTTGTCATAATTTATAAAATAAAATATTATCTTCAAGGACCTCTACTTTTTAGGTAGGTGGGTAAGAGAGATGATATAAAAACGTTTTTTTCTTAATAATTTGATAACCAAAAAAGTGTAGAACTACCTTTATTTATTTTGTTTTAAACAAAAAAATCTTATAAAAAACACTCACTTGTTAGTTTCTTTGAAATGAAAGTAAAGACATATAATTTTAAATTACAAAAATATATTATACCTAATTTTATAATTGAAAGTTAGAGGAAATTGTTAGGTTCCAAACATTTTAATTAAAAATAAGATAGATATCAAAAATTTAGAATTTTAAATTAAATTTAATATCACGAATATTCAACAAAATAAATTTTATTTTAATAATGCAGTTAATTAATTTAATAATTTTTACTTAAAGTAGATATGAAAGTATAGTTTCAAAATAAAATTGTAAACAACAATTATTGTGTTTTCATAATTAAGAAATATTGGATAGCCCATACATTAATAGCAATTTAAAATTAAAACTAAAAAATATTTAATTCAAAGCTCCAGAAATTACTAAAAATTGCAGATACATATTTCAAGAACAATGTTATATTATTAACATACTGTTAAAATACATAATCTTGATTTTTTAGTAAATTTTGTGGCTTTTGAGTTATAATTTTTTAAATTTTAAATAATATTATCCAACAATGATCAATTCTTATTAATGGGTACTTCTTAATTTTAAAAAGTATAAAATATTTAAATGCATACTTCAATAAATTAAAAAAATGTATTATTATTAAAATTATAACTAAAATTGTACAATAATAAGTTATAAATGACTTAAAAGCTATACTCAAATTAACAAGATAGTACACAAATAATAAATACCCAATTTAATATAGTGTAAAAAATTATTAAAATCTAAGTAATAAATTTGGTAATCAACACTAAAATGTTTGTTGTGTAACATAATTAATCTATAAATAGCTAAAAATACTGTACAATTATCACAACCAGGAAAATATAATAGTTAATATATATTGAATTAAAAAAATTTAACAGCCAAAAAGTAATAGTGAATCTTAAACAAAGTTAACATTAATTATTAAAGTTATATTTATCAAATTTAAATAAAGGCCACAGTATATATTTTTGAGGTATTGTTATTTAATTAATAGTTATATTTAATCACAATATATTGCGAACAAAAAATAAAAATATTCATCATTAATAATATTTCTAATTTGATAATTTAGGAGAGTTAGTGTTAACCTTTTTTGTACAATTATTATTTCTTTGATTTTAATGATGAAATTGTTACATAAAGTAAATAATATTTTCTTTACAACTTATACTAAAAAAAGTATTAAAGAAAAAATATTTTCATAACTTTGTATTAGGTGTAGTCTTACAAAAATTAATAATTTTTAATAATGTAATTTTCTCTTTATACATTCTTCTGTAATACAATGTATCCAGCCATATATTTTCTTTTAATTTTATCAACATATTAAATATTCATAAATAAAAAATTGTAAAAAAATACATTAAAAAATAATTTAGTGATACAAAATTTAAGTCGAATAGATTTTAAAAAAATTTATGAAATGTTAGCAATTTTGTAATTATTTTATAGTTCTGATGTTTGAAAAAAAATTACTTTGATAATAAGTTTTACCAAATCTGTTATGTGGTTTAATCACATAAAAATAACTAAATTTACAAAATAAAAAAAAATCATCTTAATAAAACAAAATTAGAAAACTATATAAACTAAAAAGTGCAGGAATGCTTAATAAATATATAGTTTTTAATAATCTAAATTGATTATTAAAAACTTTTAAGACACCTGTTTTGTGAGTGAATGAATACTTTCAAGTTATTTTAATCTAAATACTCGTATGTAGCAGAAACACTCTAAAAATAATTTAATAATATGTTATTAAACTTATACAATTTCTGATGTATTAAAAATATAATTCATACCTCTAATTCTGGAGGGTTTTCCTTCAAATGTGAAATGTGACATGATCTACATAACAAATGTGAATCTAAAGGGTAACACCTTTTGTCAGGTTCATCAGTAAGTTGCATTCCACATTCCTAAAAAAAAAATTAAAAATTGTTCATATATATTATATATTATACAAATTGTGTTAGAATTGATAAAGGTGTCCTTAATAGAATATATGGTGATAATTTTCACCATATATAATATAACAATAAGTTTAAAAAAAATAAAGTTTATCTTTTAAAATATTTTTTAGAGTTTTTTTAATTTAAGCTTAGAAATAAGACTGAAAATATAACATACTAAAAAAGTAAGTATACAATTAAAATATAAATATTACTAATTAAATCAAATATTAGTATTACTTCATAAGAAAACAGTACATATTTTTAAATATATTTATATCACTCTTTATTATTTATTAAGTCTGGGGATGTAAAGTAACTTAAGTTACAAGTAGGTACAAAGGTACTTTTTTCCATACAAGCGCTTCACCAATCTTCTCCCAATGCTCAATTAGATGCGTTAGCAACATCCATTGATACTAGTACACAGTTTCCTTCTAAGAGGTCTAGTCACAAACAATATCCATAACTCTTCCAATGGCAACCAAGGGTATTCATTTTTTTGAACTCAATTTGATTCCTTGAGAGTTCATTGGTTATAGCGATAAGATATTTCTCTAATCATTTTTTTAAAAGACGTTCAAAGAATTTACCAATACAGTTCACAAGGCTTAACGGGTAATAAGAAAAATATAGCTCCAATGGTTTACTTTTTTCCCGATTAGGACTAAGTGTGTTGACCAGTTGTCTTCCTGGCTTCTAAACAATTCTATTTTAAGTCTTTTTAGGGTTACCCTGGCCTTCTGGTGTAGAGTATTACATTCGTCTACTTCTCTGCATTTTCCAACTTTTTGATAATCTCTTCTAGCTACAAATGACATTTTCTGCAAATCAGGAATTTCAGGATATACCAGTGAACAGGTTTTTCCTTCATAATATCCTTTTTGATGCATCGAAGTGTCTTACGCTGCTTCCAAGAATCTGAATCTGTTGTTGGTGGTGAATAAATATCTAGAACACCATCAACAAAAATAGCTAGAAAGTTCCCCAGGCTTTCTATGTAAGAGATTCACCAGCACCAGCCTGTTATTGTATTGGAGAGTGATGAGTTGGTCACTCCACATCCAACGTCAAATGTTACATTTTTATACCTAAATGAGAGAAAGAAAATGACCGGGAAATCTTAGTTATAAAAATAGCAGCATCCAATCTTTACCTATAGTCATTACTTTAATTTAATTAATTTAATAAATTCTGAAAAAGTCATACAAAAATTGTTATTGATCAATCATTTTTCTAATTAGATCATTATCTATATAATTAACTAGTTAACTATACGTATTTCTATTTAAAAAATAAAAGTTGATTACCTTAAAAGGTTTAAGGAATAAACATAAAAGATTGATAAGATTAAAAAAAAAAAAACATTAAACTAATAGAAATCCAATCAAATAATGATCAATACTATTCTTACATAATATAATTTTTTTGATTAATAAAATAAATCATCCTATATACATAAATTTTTCAAAAAATTAAGTATTGGTTACACCACATTACACATAAAAAGTAATTTGAGGAGTAACTCAATACTTTCTTGTTTTGCAAGTAATTTTATTACATTCAAAAATAAGTAACAAACTAGTAATTAGATTACTTTTTGGAAATGTAACAATTAATTGTAATTTTACTACTTTGTCAAAATAATTTGCCTAAGATTTTTTATTACTATTCATACAAATAAAAAAAAAAAATAGTTTTAAATTTTAAACATGGCATAATCTTGGAAAAAGAACTCTTGTTTTAATGAGTGATTCAATTTATCTAGTTTTATAAGTAATTAAATCGTTTTTAGTATGTTATGATGTAAAACAATTACATAAAATAATTTTATTTTAACAATAATTTAAAATAAGGACACATTTATAATAAAAAATTGTATGGAAAATTGAATTTTGTTTACCTCACAGACAAAACAATCCACATGAAAATCTTTATCCATTGAAACCACCCTAACAGTTTCTTCAGTGCCCTGTAATTCGAAAAAATTTTTTTTAAGTATATATTTTTTAAATAAAATAAAATAATTAAGTATTATTACTTCTACAGGAGTTATTCCTTGTCCACAAGCAGCACATTTAGGAGCATACTTCCTAAAAATATATCAAATTAGTAATAACAATTTGAAAGTTCACATTTTTTTTTTTTAAATAGCCTTTATTGAAAGTTCAAATTAAATAGGTAGTACTCAAAACAATTGCAAGGCTTCTTAAACAAGGGTGAAAAGTATATTTAATCTACTGAATATTTTTTAAAATAATTAAACTTTTTTTAGTATTCTTTATCAGTAGCAAATTTCATATACTGTGTTTTTTTTTTATTATAAACTACTTAATTAGTTGAAAAATAAGTATAAAATTAAAAATGTATTGATGTTATTTAATTGCATGTTTTTTTTTCAAATTATTTTTTATGTTCATCCCTTAAATCGTTTAAGGGTATCAACTTTAATTTTTCAAATGGCAACTTTATACTTATATATACCTACTACTTTATACCTAAAAGAGAGGAAGTGTGTAGCCAAAAAATGATTATTGATAAAAATAACAACACCCCAGTCTCATCTGCAGCCATGACTAGAACATGTTAATAACTTCTGAAATAGTGGTCCAAAAGATTTTCAGACCAGTCATTTTCTTAATTCATTCATTATCTATTAAATAAGCTAGTTAATTATGTGGTTGCCACTCGAGGAATTAAAGTTGATATCCTTATAAGTAACACAGTGGCTTAGTGGTAAGGTTTGTCTCTAAAACGCCTTGGGTTGTGGGTTGTAATCCCATACCATGCCTCTTTTTTCATACTATTTCCGGTACACTTTCTATAACCAATCATCAATCCTCAGCAACCATGTTTTAAGGTATAAGGAATCAACATAAATATACTCTATGGTAGATAAATTAAAAAAAATATGTACCTAAAAGAAATTAAAAGAAAAAATTTCTCAATATTTAATGATTACGATAGTACTATTCTACATTTCTTTCTTTAGTAGAAAATACCATTTTAAATTGAAAAATTGTTTCAGCTCTATATGCTAAAATATTGGCAAGTAAGAAATAGAGTACATTAACCTTATCTATAAAGAACATGAAACTTGTAAAGTGATTGACATCTTCATTAAACAAGTTTATTTTTAACAAGGAACAATTGAGGGGTCCTGTGCAATAATTTGTTATATAAAAGATTTTCAACCATTTGGTATGGATAAAGGGACATATCTATCCACTAGAAAAGCTTATTTTGTTAAAATAGAGATACCTAATTTACAGAATTTAATTTAAAATGATTTCATTTTTGTGTCTCCTGAACAATTAAAAAATATAAATAGCCAATTATTGAACTGGACCTTTTAATGGTTCCTTATTAAAAACAAACTTGTTTATTGAAGATTTCAAATACATCACAAATCACAGATTTTAAAATATCTTTTCAAATAATTTATATAAATACTTATGACAAATAATTAAAACTTTTTTTTTTATTAACATAAAAACAAAAATTAATAAAGCATAGGTGTAATTATTTGATTTTTCTAACTAATAAAGAAAAATGTATTTAAAGTACCTGTGATAATCTGCTACACAGTAAATTTTATTGTCTATATCTACTGTAAATGGTATTCCATCCAAGCAACCATTACATATACAACATCTAAAACAACCTGGATGAAATGATTTGCCCATTGCTTGTAAAATCATTTCCATTATTAAATGTCCACATATTGAGCACTTTTCAGCAGTTTGTTGGAACCCTATGTACTAATGAAAGAGAAAAAAATTATTATATTTCATTATTATTATTATATTCTACCTATAAACAGGTAGACTTTAGTGTAATATTAAAAAAATTAGCACTTTAACAGTTATAAAATAACTATTACAATATAAAAAATTTCTTAAAAATAAAATTTTGTTATAATTAAAAAAAACTAATTTAATGAATTTTTATTCAACATATTTAATAAATGTTTTAAAATTATTAGGCAATCATATTAAAAAAAAAAAAAAAAAAAATAGATCTATAATAAACAAAATCTTTGGGTTTATTGAATAAAGAATAACTTTTGAAAATATATATATATATATATTTATATTTTCAACTGTTGATAAAATTCTAACTGATACACAAATTAAGATATCAAGTAATCACAAGGGATCCTCAAGAATCATAGGAATGATAATACTGCAGACCCTTATAATTTAGTAAGTATGGGAACATTCACTATTGATCAAACTGTCAGTTATTTTTAGGATTGGTAAGCATGAGCACACTATAGAGTTTATAGCTTTACCACAGTACCAAGCATTGCTGTAGTGGAAATTTCTTGCTTTCTTGTTAAAACAAGATGGATATACCACAAAAAGGTTAATTTTGTAAAAATCAGGGATCCAATTAAGGAAAACCTGTAAGAACAAGAGTGAAAATAGTAAGGCTTCATAGAAAATTGTTCAATAATTTAAAACTTTATGCAAGGAATGATGCATCTAATGAACCATAGTGGTAGTATGGGCACTAATGCTGAATCATAAGCTAGCAAACAGACTAAAAGAAGTCAATAAGCAGTAGCCATCAGTCATAAAAACTAGTATTTTTGCTGACTATACTAAATAGAAAATTAGAATTTTCTTGTGAAAAGTAGTGTCATAATATATTTGTCACTACCATAGCATGTGATATTTATACATTATATTCTTAGAAGGACATAATCCTTTTCAGACAAAAATAATTTAAATTAACATTTAAGAGAAATAGTCAACAAACACATACTGTTTAGTTATATTATAATATACACGATTGAATCATAAATTAATTAATATTCACTTTTAAAATACTTCCTTTTGAAAAGAAATATATACATTTTTTTTCATCATTTTTATTCTAATAATTAAATGTGTTGTATTAACCCTAATCTTATGTATAAAAAATTATCAGGTAAGATTTTTTTAAATTTATAAGAGTTTATATTTATGTTATTTTATGACTTTCGGATCATACTCGGAATTTAAAGTATCCCTAACTTTCTATATCCTACTCACCTTTTCTCTTTATTTTATTAGGTTTTTGTTATGATAGTAGGGATTTAATTTAAAAAAATTGTAAGAATAAGAATATAAAAAAAGTGAATCATGTTATAGAAGTTCATTGGATAATTTAAAAACTTCATGCTAGAAATGCTAATAATAAATTACATTGATTGTAAAACACATTATATATTACCATATAGTCTTCTTCACAATAAACTCGACCATAGACATTGTAGAAAGCTTTTCCACGAAGTGCACGTCCACAAGCACAACATATAAAACAATTTGTATGATATAAATTACCCATTGCTTGACAAGCTTGACCAGCACCAGTTACTTTATTACCACAAGTATGACATATTCCTTAATAATTAAAAATAATAATTTAAATTAAAAAAAAAAAAAAAAAAAATGTGTAAACTATCTTGATAAAAAAATACCAAAATATTCTCCTCCTACAGCAACTTCTTGAGTTTCCATTTGTTCTTCCAATTGTCTGGTAAGTTCTTCAATCTTTTTTTCAGCTTCTGTTGGTCCCTATTGAATTTAAAACCATAAATAATAAGAAAAACAAAGTAATGTTAAACATTTTTTTATAAAACAAGTTTTGGTTGAAATCTCAACATGTACTGAAAATGTGCAAAAAATAATAATAAATATTTCTTTACCATAGGTCTTGGAGGAGTTACATTGTATGGTAGGAGATTTTTAGCTGATTGCTTTGTTTTAGCAGGCAAAGGAGGGGCTGGTGAAGGGAGTGATGATGTACTTTGATGTAATGTTGTTAAATCTTGTTGATATAAAGAAGGTGTTTGAAGAATTTTAGCTACAGAATTAAGCTGTTTTTGAGATCGAGATTCAGCTAGTGCAGGTTGTCCAACAATACACATTTGAGGTGACAGAGCTGGTGGTATATATGTTGCAGTAACTTGTGAGTGACTGATATTATTAACTGAATTTAATTTTACATGACGTGGGCTGGTTTGAGATATGAATTCAGGCACAACTTTTGTAGTATGTGAAACTGTGGAAGATGTTGGTTTAATGTATGGTATGGCATGTTGTGAAGGATATCGAGTAGATTGATCCATTGAATGAGACTGTACGGGTACTTGAGGACCAGGTTTGGCAGGTTCATAACTCACTGTACTTTTTACAGGATCAGCCAATTTTTCGTAAACTGGTGGCGCTTCATAAGGTGGAACTTCTTTTCCTATTGGTGGTACATATTTAGTATAGTTAACTGGAACTTGTGGCTGTGCTTTGCGATAATTAGATTCATATAATGCTGAAGAACCTTCACAAGAGACTATGCTAGTTCTAGGACTTGAATGTCTAGAATCTTGAGATCCACCACTGGAATGTGAGCCAGGTCTTGGTCTTTGTTGGAAGTAAGTTGGTGTTTGATTAACAGAACGGGTACTACCATAATATTCTACATTTTCATAAAGAGGAGATGATTTTAATATCATACTATCATGACTAACAGAAGTCAAATTAGCTCTAGGGCTAGGTGAATCACGATTAGTCATAGCAGTAGAATATGGGGGTGGACTTGACAATAAAGGTTTTAATATCATATTACCCCTTGGAAATTTTCCTTGATCAATACTAGAATGATAGGTATTAGTTCCATTTATATGATCATTAGAGTTATTATTTTGTAATCTATCAGCTGAGTTAGTTAAATCTAACGATTTGTATGAAAATAATTTGGAATGTGTAGGAGATTTTTGATCGCTAACTTTTAAATTTGAAACACAATTCAATATGTAATTATTGATATCTTGATCGGTTAGAACAGTTGGTTTAGTTGTTGATTCAATGGATTTTTCAGATATAGTATTAGATTCAGACTTTCCTAATATTTTACCATACCCAACATTTGGTAATAATTTCTCATTTTTTTTTTCAGGAATTGTTTTTTCATTAGTGTTTGGTGAATAATTGTTTTTTTGGCGTTTATCCATTATTATATCGCTAGAAAATAAAAATGAAAATTTGTACAACTAAAACAATGGTAAATAATTTTTTTAGTGTAATATTTTAGTAATGTAAAAACAAAAAATATGACATAATGCAAGTACCTTAGAAAATTAGGAAATACCATGTTTTGAAAGTAACATTTAGAGAAGCCAAAATTGATTCAAATAATTTCAACCATTAATACTACAAAAATAAAATAAAGCTAAAATATTTGCAAAAATTATTGTTTAATCTGATGGAAATAGTATAAAATTATAAATTCAATTTCAAGAATTATTTTTTTGAAGTTCATACTAATAAAAATTATTCTTTCACGTGGTAAATATAAGAAAAATGAAAAGTCAAGCAAATAAAAAATAAATTTCTGTGGAATGTACTTCAATTAATAATTTTTAAAAGAACTTAAATTTTGTTTAAGGGTACTGAAAAAGAAACATTACTTTTTGATAATAATCCTTATAAGATAATAATGCCAATGATTTCTAAACATTTAATAAATATGACAAATAATGTGCCTTAAATGACTGATTCAATTGTGAACTGTACTGGATCATAATAAACTACATATATAACAGTAAATAATTTATTTAACAAATAAAAAAATGATAACTTGTTTAAAAAGTTTTAAAGTATAAAGATACTTTAAAATTATACATATTAGTTGTATTTTTATTCAGTATAAATAAATGATTAGGTCATAATTTATGACTCATAAATTCTAAATCTCATGAATACACAAACCAGGATTATTTTTAACAAGTATTATTGGATAATATAATAGTAATACTTTCAGCTTTAATTTCATAAGGTATTTGTTTAACAACTCTGTTAAACAACTGTTTAACAATTATTGAAATAATACATTTTTATTAAGTGTAACTCTTGGAAGAAAATTAACAAATATAACATTTTATGCTTAAATATAATCTCTAACTACAAATTAAAATTTAAACAACATTATAACACCACAAACTTTAAATATTCATTAATTATATGTAAAAATTTATTTGTAATAAGTTTTTGGTCAGAGATATGCTATTTTAATTTGAATTTCTTATTATATGAATTATTATTTTTAACTAAATATATGAATAACACAGATTTAATTTTCATTAGAAACTTAATTACATACCTGTTTTAGACTTATAATGAAGAAAATATCACAGTAATAAGGTGCATAGTGAGAGCAACCTCAGATTTATTTTAAACAGTAAATAAAAAAAAGTTTACTTTTTACTTATGTCTTAATTGATATAATTTCTAAAATAATAATGATTTTTCTATCCGTAATCGACCAAAACAACAATAAAAACATAAACACGTTTCAATGAGCGCTGTTAATATAAAAAAAATTGTAAATACAAAACGAGATATGTGATATGATGTTTTTAATCACAATATAGCGCCGTCGCGGGGAGGTGTCGGTGAGAGATGGTTTGCTTGGTGAAGGGCAGGTGGCCTGATTTATACTATATTAAAGTAGCTACGTAGAGTTGGTGCTTAAGAGAAGTGGGGATTTCGTTGATGTAGGTAAGCCCATTGATTTGAAGTAGAAAAAGTACGAGTATGATAATTTAATATTTTGAAGTAGCGAAGGTGTTCCTAACAATGTGACCAACAATGAGTTTCTTTAGAAAAATATCAATTTGTTATGTTGGTATTTATTTCAAATAAATAACCAATATAAAAAAATAGCTTAGGTCTCAGGGAGAAATGACTTAAGTTAGTTTTATTAATTGATTGGGCAACATTTTTTTGGAATTTTGAAAATTCCCGAAAATTTGATACTTAGAAAATATTGAATATAACCTTTTAAAGGTATATATTAAAAATTTTCTGTAGTAATTATATGGTTATAACATCAAAAGGAAAAATAAAAATTGTACACTATTTTTTATTGTATTATTATATATTGAATGGTAGTTACAAAACCTAAAATAGCCACATTATGAGGTTTTGTCCAAATGTTAATTAGAAGCCGAAAAGAATCTATTTAAATGATTCTTTTAGGCTTAAACTTGGGCTATTAATTTTGTAACTCTGTAAGAAATATAGAGTAAAATAAATTGGTAGATTTATTGTAAAAACATACTTAATATTCTTAGTTATTAATTCCTTTTAATTTTAATTCTAAAAAGCCCTGACTTCTATGGAACGCTCTATTGTGAGTATCTTTGACATACTCTTGGCCAGTCAATTTTAAATTTAATATACTCATCAAAAAACTAGTTTTTTATCATTCTATTAATTAATTAAAATATTGAATTAATCTAAAAATATTGAATATATCGATATTTAATACTAAAATTTTAAATAATCTAAACAAATATCAGTACAGTTATGATTAGACTTATAAGCATTATCATTAGTTTTATACAAATTTAACATAAATACATTTTGAATAATGATATGAAGTTTTTATAGTCTGTAATTGAGAATGTTTGCTAGACAAAATTCTCTATTAGGTTGAAAATTTAGCGCGTGAGGTATATATATTGCTTATATTATCTGATAATAAACTTATATCAGTATTAATATTCTGCATCTATGAAACAGTGATAAGCAGTAATGTGATCTGCCGGCTTTAAATTAATAAATAGGTTATGCTAATTTAAAAAATTAAAACATACATATTAATATTTTGAAATATTAATAAGTTTGTTTAATTATACGTATCATTAAATAATTATGCCAAAAAAAAATATTGTTTTTGTCACGGGAAACATTAAGAAGTTGGAAGAAGTTATTCAAATGTTTAAAACTTTTTATACAGGAGATACTCCTTTTAATGTTTGTTTAATATAAAAATTTCTATTAAAATTAATTAATTTAAAAAATAATATTAGTGAATTATTTCAGTTGTCCAATAAACATATTGACTTACCTGAGCATCAAGGAGATCAAGACTTTATCTGTAAGAAAAAAGCTCAGGCAGCTTTTGAAATCATTAAGGGACCATGTATTGTTGAAGATACTAGTTTATGTTTTAATGCATTTGGTGGTCTTCCAGGTTAAATCTTAATCTGCTATAACTCTTACTGTTTAACAAGTTGTATTAAATATTTATCATATTCTAGGTCCATACGTAAAATGGTTTTTAGAAAAAATTCATCCTTTAGGTCTTTATCGAATGCTTAATGGATTTGAGGATAAAACAGCTGTGGCTGTATGTACTGTTGCTTATGTTAATGAACAAGGTGAAATAAATATATTTAGGGGTGAAACTGATGGTACTATAGTTGAACCCACAGCAATTGAAACTTTTGGTTGGGATTCGTGTTTTCAGCCTAATGGTTATAGTGTTACGTTTGCTGAAATGACTAAAGAAGAAAAAAATAAAATATCACATAGAAAAAAAGCTATGTCACAGTTAAAAGAATTCCTTGATCAACATGTAGTAAATTTGTAAATAATTACTTTATCCAAACAGAATAAAAATGTTTAATTGTCTTGTTTTGTATGACAAAAAAGATATAAAATATGATTAATTGTATATAATAAAATTTTGTGTTACTATTATTAATATTCGCATTTATTTTTAACTATTATTGTTAAGATTAGAATTGGACTTGGAACTATGGGGTTCTTACACATTTTTATTACTGAAAATATCTTATATTCTTAGTGTTTATCAACTAATTATTTTTTTTAACTAAAAAATTTGCTATTCTACAATTTATTTTTATTTTTTCTATTATATTGAATACAATTTTATACTAATTATTTTGTTTTTATAAATCTTACTTCCGGTGATGGACTAACGACCACCCATCCCGGAGTATAAATGGTTAAGAAACTTCCTTCTTTGAGGGAGGCCATGATAGCCTTTAATTAGTTGATAAATGCGAAAAAAAAAATTTTACTAATACTAATATTCTTACAATAAGTAGAATTAGAAATTTTCAAATAGAGTTAGAAGAGATAATTATTAGACATTTTTTACCAAAACTTAGATAATATAGTATAAAGTTATTAGCTATTATATATTTTCAATGACCAATTGATGATCCCTATAAGAGAGCTTTAGTAACTGCTTTGGAACCCTACGACTTTTATTTCCATGTTGACAACATAGCTAACCAATTTAAAATAAATATGTGCTTGTTACATTATTAGCTAATAAAGTTTAGTTTCATTGTCATTAGTATGATACTATGCACAAATTGTTTAGTGAAAATATTTGTCTAAAAATTATAAAATGTATGAAAAAATAAAAAATGGCTTGTAAAAGTGAAGAATTAACTAAAATAAAATTGTCTCCGAATTAACCACTCTCTCTACACAAAAAAATACAATAATTCAGCTTTCTAAAAGATCAAATCATGTTATGAATTGACAAATCCAATAACTCTTGAAGCAGTAAATATTTTATTTTACTTTTTTTTAAAATAATTGTCAGATTTATATTAATAATATCATATTTTTTTAATTTATGAATAAATATTAGTTTTAAAATATTTCAAAAAAGTCATTTTTTAGAATAAATCTTAAAAAATAATATGATATTTCAATATTTTATTAATATTTTGTTGTTAAGTTTCAAGTGCAATATTGAATATTTATTATTTATTTTATTACCTAAATCTTATTATTTTAAGTAAGGATACAGAAAGTAGGGGCACAATGTGGCGCAGTAGATCGCCTCCTTAGTGCTGGTGTTCAGCTGTGCTGTTTGTGGTTAGTCTTCAGACAGGTGATCAGCAATAGTGATGAGGATCTTGCCTCCTTACTGTTTTACTCAGCCATAATGAATTTACTTTAGGTCAATAGTGAGTATAAAAATCCTGTCATATCAGCAAGGTAAAGTAGATAATGATGGTATAATAGAGAAAGTTAACATGTACCAATTAATTGTATTTATAAAATATTGTGAAAATGTTACTCATAAAAAAAATTAGAAAAAATTAACTATGTTTTAACATTTAATTTGTCACATATTTTATTTTAATAGAAACTGTTATAACTAAATTATGAAATATTCGTTTTAGTTACACCTTGCAAATACATAAAAAAATAATTATTCATATTTTAATTTTTATAATAATTGGTAATTGATTTAGTTACACAATTTATACAGGTATAAATACTTTAGATGTTTAAAGTATGAATATATTTATCCATTTTAAATTCAGTAATATTAATTATTAACTTATCACAAAAAATATGTCACATGACTAATTTCTATTCAGTTGATATCAATTTTATTAAGCAAAATTAGAGGTGTTTGTTCAAGCAATGATAATTTGTTTGGAAAATATTTTATGCCTATAATCCACATTTAATGTAAAATTATTATATAACTTCTATCCTTTCCTTCATAACATGGCTATTGGTTGATATTGTAAAGTATTCATAACATTTTTTTGAAAAATGTTGAAATGCTCTAGAAATTAAATAACGAAATATTAATTAAATATTATGGTAATAATATTTTCTTAAAATTTACTCTACAAAATTGTTATTTTTCAATATTTTATAAAATGTTTGAAATTTTTTTTTTTTTATAAGAACAAAGCAACATTAAATATTTACTAGATTAAAAATTATTGGATTTGTCATATCCTTGTGACTCGCTCAAATTTTGGTGCTTTTATTACTTAAAATAAAAATTATGTAAAAATAATTGTTGTTTAATAATTTATTTAAAAATAATCAGATCAATATTAATTATTTAACAAAATTCTCTAAAAACTAGTTATAGTTAATTATTTAATTCACAATATTTGGATTCTTAAAAGTAACAGTTACCGAATGTTTATAATTTAATGATTTTTATTTACATTAAACTAAAAATAAAATACAAAGTGACAACTGTAAGAATTTAAATATCACTATTAAATATTTATAGAAAAAAGGTAAAAATTAGACTTGAAGTTAAACACAAGTTTAAAATATCTTTAAAAACTTTTAGTGAGAACTGTTAATAGGAATAATAGTTTTGTATAAAAATGAATAATTAACTTTGATTAAGAAGTCTTACATTACTTTTATAAACTTTTCCTTTTTGAATTTTTTTACCAATAAAATAATTTGAACCGATGTCTGAATTTACATCTATACTTATTATCTGTTAAAAATAAAAATAAATATTTTTAACAAGATTTAAAACAAAAATTATCAAATATCAGTAGTTGCTTATCTATTTTTGATTTGTATGTAATATACAAATTAAAACTAGATAAGCAACGTAAAAGTAAAGGATTTTGTTTAACAAAGTAATTTTTGTTTAATCTACTAATTACCCTTGATACAAATAATAAAGTTCAAATTGGTATTGCATGGTTGTTAATAACAAAAAAAAAAAAAAAGAAAAAAAAAAAGAAATTAAAGAAGAATTAATGAAAAATGTTAAGAATATCAAATTGTATTTAAAGTATTTAGAAAATTTATTTGAAGAGTATAAACTATAAGAGTATTGAAACTTCAGTGTTTTATATTAATGTAAGTATATATGTTATTAGAAGAGGTTCAAAATATACAATTCAATGATACAATTTTGATAGATTTTAATTTTTCAAAAAACAATTCAATTTTTGATCATTTATGTCAATAAATATTTTATTTAATATTGGACTATTTATAAAAATAAAAAATTTAATATGTAATATAATGTTTTAAAAGACTCAATTTTACTAATAAAAAAATTATATTATTACCATCTCAGCTATTTCTAAATTATGGTAAAATAAATTTTACTATGTGTTTATTTTTGATATGATAATAGTCGTTTTTTTACTAATTAGAGGTGGTCAAAAAAATCTAATTGTAAATTTGAAATCAATACAAAAAATTAGTTTAAAAAAACCAGCACAGGGAGGTCGCGTCACAGTAGTGACGTGGCATAGTTGGCTCAAGTATAATGATATCTGACAGTGATTAAAATCACTATAAAAAAAAAAAAAGCTTCGATGCAAATCTGTAGATAGTGTTCAATTTTAAAAAAATTGGTGGATTATTTCAAAAGCTACATGATCTCCTATTTCCTTATTTAAATTCTGATTACAAGTTTTATGATTTACAACTGTAATAAATGAATATATATAAAGGAAAATGGTGTTATTTTAAAAAACAGGTATGTCGAATGAAAGAGGGATATAAATATTATTTCTCATAAAAAAATCCATACACTTTTCAATAAGTTAAAACAATATAAAGTTAAAAATGTAAAATATAAAATCAAGAATTTTCACACAAAAATAGCATTTGGTAGCCATTTTCACCACAAAGACAAGTCCAGAGGTCAAATTTTTTTTTCCATAAGAAAGTACATTACATTAGCTTTAATTTAGGATATATATAAAAGTGTCAGACTTTCCGGAATATTTTCAAAAGTTAAGTTGAAAAAGTAAAATTTTTGTAAAAAAGTTGTCATTTTAAACCCCCCTTCCTGTGGGCAGGTAAAGGGTCAGATTTATAAAAAAAATATACCAAATGATAGGAAAAGACATAATGCATCTATAAAAAAAAATATTATATTAATTTAGTAATTTTTGAAAAATTTATGATAGTTTTAAGTAAAAATTTTTTTCGAAAATTATCGATTTTTGAATTTGTAATTTTTTTGGAGATTTCCCCCATTTACAAGGAACGAGGGAAATTTTTTCAATTTTTGAGAGTAATGTCTTCGACTAGATACGATTGTGATCTTTTGACGTTTCGTTGAAGGAAATTGGTTCAGTGAGAGCTGAGAAAAAGTGGTGACAAAAAAAAAAAATATATATATAAAGTAAAACTAATATCTTCTTAGCTTCGCATTGAAGCTAAAAATTACAACTTTCTATAAATTCTTCTTTATTAATTGATAAGACTTACTTCTCCAGCACTCAATCTCAATTCACTAGAGTCTCGTGGTTCTTGACTAGTAATTACTTTTGCCTGTTGTATTCGGCCTAAAGCTGGAGTATCTGGTGATAATGTTGCAACATTATTGTAATCAGATGGAAAACTGAAACATAATATACAATAATTTACATTATAATTGTAATAAAATAAAGCAAAGATATTTATTAATAAAATAAAATATTTATAATTAACCCTGAAAGATCAGATTGCAAACTCATAAGAGATTCATGACATTTTAAATAGAATGCTGCTTGAGTATCAACGAAATCAAGCAAATGTTGTAAATGTTGTGGATGAGCACTTGGTACACCTTCCATAAGTAACTTAGTTATTTCTGTTTGTCGGTCATATTCTGCTTGGGCTACTTTAAGATCATTTTCAGCCTAAAAGTAACACAATATTAGACAAATTGAAGTAAGTTCAATCACTACTCTACTGAAAAAATAAAATCTTAAGTTTATAAATTATTTTATTTGAAATATAAAATAAAACAAACGCCACACATTACAGCTTTTCCTTTTATTACCTTTTCAATTTGTTCTTCTACAGTTGGACCTGTTTCGTCTGGCTGCATGAAATTATTTTATCAATCAATTAACCTAGCGTTTATTTTATTCTATTAATTTTGATTAAAACAATTTTAAATAAAAATTTTACCTTATCTTTAGTTGTTGACAACATTCTTACTTTACGCATTCGTGTTTTGCAAGCATCTAAGTCTAATCTACACAAATTTTAAACATTAAAATTAATTTAAAAAGGTATAAAAATAAAGATATAAGAATAACAGTTTTCTACCTTCTTTTTTCCAAGAGAGATCTTTCTTTAACAATAGTTTTCATATCCGTTTCTAAATATTTATTCATAGGATTAATAAAACAATCATAAGCTGATCTAACAAATTCTCTTTGATTAAGTCCTAATGATTGCTGGGCATTACCAACTTTAATCAGTGCACTACCTGAAGGTATAAATATTTTATTTTTTAGTAGTTCATACCAATATTATTTTGAATTATACCATATGCAGTGTCTGGGCCAAAATTATTTCCCGCTTCAGTCATGGCCAGTCCTAAATATTCTAGACTACTTAATTCACTTTTTTTTTTATCCAAAAAGAATAGATTTTCTACTCTCATACCTAAACATGGTTTTATTTATTATTTTATGATACAGTTTATTATGCTATAAAATAATATGTTATTATAAGCATTCTAATAAAAATTATAAAATTAATTATTTTTCATAGATCTACAATTTGTAAAATACTGTATTAAACTTTTTAAATTTCTTTTAAGAAAATAATTTTTTCTATACCAGGATTATAGTTCAAAATGAACTCCATATTTTTAATCATGTTTTCAGTGTTTTGTTTGGTACTATCACAGAAACAAACTAATTTCTCAAAGTTAGGATCGAGCTCTGTTTTTTCTGCTTTACCCAATTTTTCTTCAGTAAACTGAAAAATAAATTAATACTTAATGATTTCTGATTAAACAGTTTTACCTGAAAATTGTTAATACATCCTATTTATGAACAATAACTTGATACTGTGATACTAAACTATATTGTTTTTAGTATACTCTGTATTATACTAAGTTATGTATATATAAATAGAGTAAAAATAAAATAGCATGTTTTGTAAGTAATCTTTTTTGAGTTATAAAAAGTTAATTAATTAAGACCACATAACTTTATAAGTGTTTTCAGTGCTGGTGTCAGGTTTTGCTAGGCCCCTATGCCAAAAGGGAACAGTTAAATTGTGATAGATTTTCTCAGTAAAAATGATAACATGGTAAAAATAAAAAAAAAAATTTGTTTGGAGAGGGTAATAAATGTTTTTTTGAGTGTACATTAACCCCAAAATTAAAACTTAAACTATGCCACTGCTATGTGTATAAAGCCCCATAAAATGTGGGATCAAGGGCATGTGTCTCTCCTTGTGCTAGCACTGTATGTTTTTATACTTTTCAAATAACTACACAAGAAAAATTATAAAAGTTAATCTCAAAATTGCAGATTATTGAAAAAAAAAAAATTAATATGTTAATCTTAAATTCACTTAAAAATAAAATTTATTTCACTAGAAGGATAATATTTACAAATAAGGTTGTCAATAATTTTGTTTATTTATTTATTAAATAATTATTCTAGAAATGTTTTGCTTAATATTAAAAAATAAATTTTAAATTCTTTATTAATCCATATGTTACTGTAAGTAAACTACGAATTTAGTAGCAAACATGTAAATTTTATTATTTTCTTAAGTTTTATTCAATTAAAAATATTGATTCATGCACCTGCACAGCTCGGCTTAAAGCAGTCCCAGCGTCCTTAAATATTTGTTTAACATTTTCTAAATCCATATCGTTTGTATGCCACACCAAATGTTAAGTAGAACACAATTTACTTAAAATCAAACTAATTGTTCAAGTAATCAGAAAAAGTATCTTATATTTGGGTGAGCTGAGAAATAATTAATTAACACACAATATAATTAATACACTGAAATGCACTGCTAGAAGTACAATTTCGTTTTATAGACGTTGACATTGTAATCTATAAAGGCTCAGTTTAGCATTGACGATAACGCAGGAATAGCTGATAAAAACAAATACGAGGAAGTGGTGACGTTGAGGAAAGCGCCAAGGTATGAAATAATCAATATTTAAAAGAAGGAAAATACACATTTTCATTTTATTAGGATTAGTTTAAAGTATGTATTATAATTAAGTAAAATTCCACTGAAATATTTTTATCTCTATTATTATTAAACCACGATTTTTTATTTAATTGCAAACCTAAATTTTTCTATTTAAGTATTTTAGTGTGCGAGTGGCACACTAATCGACGCGTAAAGTACAGAGATTTTTAAGGGAGATGGTTTTTAGTCATAATTTGAAACTAGTTGCTAAAAAGATTGGTTTAATGAACAAAAGTGATTAATTATTCAAAATGCATTAAATAAAGTTAAAAAATTGTTGAAATCGAAACATCTATGTCAAGCTGCATACTTAATAAACGAGTGCTAAGATGTAATTATAATTACACTGTTCGAATAAATACTTTTATTTATTGTAAATAAAAGATTATTTTTTAAAAATTAACAATTGAGTCTTGAGGGGGGGAAGGGCTAAATGCCTTCTTATTTATTGACTATAATTTTTAGTGATTGGTTGAAATGTTTAATAATCAATACAGAGGTAAATTGAGTTTTTAAGACGTGATTGAATGTTAATAATAAATATAATTATTAAACAGTGCTAAAAGAAGTTTTAGTGTAATATTATCCGAACATCACAAAATTATCTTAAATATGATATCTATAAATCATTGCATAAATTTTTACATAATTTTTAATATTATTCCTTTTGAATACTATATGAAGTTCTGTCTTTACAAAGTAATAACTGTTTGATCTCGCATAAAAAACTCGATGAGAAGTTAACATACCATCCAACTTAGCGTTTACGACCGGGTATATTACGAAATAATTGATTATTTTATTACCCCACAATATTAAAAATGAACTCTATGCCGTTGAATATTGTATATAACGATTATACCTTCTAAGAGCGGTATAGTGAAATAGATTTACCTCAGAATATCAATATAATACGTCATTGGCTCAGTGTAACAACCAGGCTATTTTTAAGATTACATTATTTTATTAGCTTCTAATTAACACGATTTTTCTATGTACTTCAGTATAAACCGGAGTTTTATATTAGGATTATTTTCGTAGATATTTAATCTAGTAAACGCCCGTTATTACTGTTCGGTCGTATCAAAGCGAGTTCGGTTGTCAGTTCTATGAGCGCGACCTGTCCTAACTAGTTTTACTGTTGGGGTAGTGTACAGAGGCGGATTTAAGGCACTGCAACCTATGCGGCCGCATAGGGCGGCAAATTTTTGTTGAATATTGGTTTAGTTTTTATAATATAAAATTACTAATTTTTTAATTTATTTTACTACTACAAAATTTTGAACGGCGTATGAGGATTTTATATTCGTTTATTTTTAGCAATGTGATATTCGTTTTTCCTAGGAACTCGTTGATAATGAGGATGACGACACAATGATTGTACTATACAGAGTGTCCCACCGCGTTTTACTCGATTTAATATCAATTGAATAGTTCAGCTGAGTAAAACACGGTGGGATACTCTGTATTATAGCTTATGTTATTGTTTAGAGAATGTATGTAATACAATTCTATACATGTATATATAAAATAAATACTAGAGTATAGCCTAAAAATGTTCGCTTTATAGAAACGAATAGATATTTTTAGATTATTTGATAAGACAAATCTACAGTTTATCCGTTTATAAATTTATTGAGTTTGCAAGTGGGCTATTTTTTAATAATTCGTCCTGTAACAACAACATGGTTTGCCACTTGCATAACGACTAGCTATAGTAGCTAGGGTCGCCACCACCTAGGCGAGGTGTCACACCTATCAGATATGATTACCGGACCATAGGTGGAATTTAATTTTAAGTTAATTAAAAGTATAATCTAAGTTAATATGTCGTTATATGTATAAATTACTATAATACCTCGTGATTTATTAAACACAATATGACAATCAAAGTTGTATGTGGTTGATATGTAAAACATACCGTAGCCCGTGTCTAGATTAAGGAATAGGGATAAAAACACGCGAGTAATTAAGTTACTCGCGCAATAAAATAAATATTACAGTTGAAATTAATAAGGAAATTTAATTTAATTGTTAAAAAAAAAAAATTAAGTTAAACATGGACAAAAATGCGAATGCATCAAAAACCATGTCTACAAATAAAGGCAATACAAATAAAATAAAATATTTANTTGTCTACAAATAAAGGCAATAAAAATAAAATAAAATATTTAAACAAAAAAAAACAAATAATATTACAAACATCACGGACGGTATTGGAACACATCCGTTAATGTTAATCGGAAATTAATAAAAAACACCAGAAGCGGTCTGGACACTCGCTCCTTAGCGTTGGCTAGAAGAAATGGGAAACACGTGCTCTCCACACATTAACAAAATTAAGTTAATTTACGATAAAATAAAAATAAAATAAAATAATTAATAAAATATAGCTCATTACATAAATATAATATATAAAAAAAGGTCGATACCCGGTCTCCGAAGAGACCCATCCGATGGTCTGGATGCTTCACCGAAAAGACCTGGCCGTTCGCCGTTGGCGGCTCTACTCCATCATTGAAAAAAGAATGTCAATAAAACTATAAACGTGTGCACCCTAGCACGGTCAATGACAGAAGAAAGAATGGACAAGAGTCAACACCGATCTAACGGCAATTTCAAATCGATAACGGCCAGTCTTTTTGGAAGGAATCATAACTGATAAACAATTCGATTTTAATTATATTTCTCTTTTATCGCCTTATCTAGCGGTCAGCGGCAAAATAATGAGTGGTTGACACCGCTGTGTCAGAAAAAGGTTCTTTCGCGCGATAAAATAAATAAGTAGACATAACAAAAATCATAAACGGTCCACCTTCGAATTTATGACGTTACAAGTTATTTGGTAGTAGTCCGTCAACCGATAGGTATACCGATACGTACCCATAATTTATTTTAAGTGCCGATATTGTTGTTTTTGTATTTCAAACGTACGTGAGAATTATTTAGTGACGATATTGGTGTTTACAGTGGTATTAAAATGAACAGAAAAAAGTTAAGTGGATCTCAATATAAAAAGAAAACAATAGAAAAGGCGGGAAAATTAAGTAATGTCCTCAAACAGACCTAAAAGGTAGATGCATTTTTTAAACCAAAAAAAGAAAATGAGGTACAACAAGTATCTATTTCTAATTTGTTTTAACCTAAGATGAATGATTTTAATATTTTTACTTCACCTAAAAAAAATTAATAGAAAATCAGAATCTAGAATGTATACCTTCAACCTCTTCTGCCATTTATTGTCATTCTTTGTCTACCGCCCAAGATGAAATATGTACAGGTTTCGAGTCACTATCAATGTCTTATTCAAATGATCCTTCAATATGGATTATAACTTTGAGATTATTTTGCTGTTAATGGTTTTGAACAAAATAAAAATATTGATTTTTCTAAATCGTAGCGTATATATAGTAATAGAGAGAAACGTTTATTAACGAAGAATATGTTTGAGAGAAAACATTTTAATGGACAAATAATCGATAGACCATGGTTAATTTATTCTGAAATATTAGGCAAAGTATTTTGTGGACTTCGTTGATTATTCCAAGACAATAATAATAATTCATTTTTAGCATCTGAAGGGTATAATGATTCCCGTTTCGCTGCGCTACAGAGTCGGTGTGATCGAACTCTATGAGGCTACGAAACGTCGGTACGAGCGTAGTTTCCGTAGCTCGGGGAATCGGGCGCGTCCTTAGGTTGCGGATAGAGGAACGGCCTGCAGATATGCAGGTTAACCGCGAAATAAGCAGTCCATTAATTTGGATTGACGAATAAGCGGTCGCGGACAGCGAGCCGCCCAAACGCTTGTTAACCCTGTAGATATACAAAGTAGCTGTGAAATAAGCCTTTATGGACGAATAAGCGGTAGCGTTTGGGTGCGAAAGGAGTTAAACGGCAATGCAACTAGTGAAGTTAGTCGCTCACTGGCCGGAGGGACTGGCTATGAGGGTAGCCCCCTCAAATCATATCACATTTATGAAAATGGAATCGAAAAGAGTAAATGTTACTGTATCAGGGGACTCGGATGCCCCAGTGCCGGCGGTTGGTAGGGGGCGTACCTTCCAGGTGTCGTCATCAATTGAATACGTACCAAATGCAGGAGTGTTGAGGCAGGCTCCTGTAGCCAATCGGCGTGATGGACCGCGGCCTAACGGTCGCGGACATCGAGTCGGGCGACGGTTACGTAGTAGCGAGGATAGACGGCATCGACGTTTTGAGCTGCTACGCGCCGCCCAGCTTGCCAATCGCCGAACTCCTCGAGCCCGTGTCCTCCTGCTTGCGGGCAGCCTCGGGACGGCCGCGGGGAGATCGTGGCCGGGGATTTCAACGCCCACTCTCCGGTCTGGGGGTCGGCGGACACGAATCAGCGTGGCGAAGACCTGTTGGATCTGATGTCGGCCTTCGGGCTGGTGTCGGCCAACAGGGGCTCCACCCCGACGTTCGAGGGTCACTCCTCGAGCTCGGTGGTGGACGTCACGCTGGTGTTCCCGTCGTGTATGAGTGCGGCAACGGCGCCTCCACCCCCTCCCGAGTCGTGCCCCGCAAGCCGTCCCGCGGAGAGTGAGTGGGCTGGCGGGTCGGACCGGCCACGGACGTCAACGCATTCGAGATGGGCTTACTACTCGCTCAATGGTCGGCGCCCGCGGTACCGGACCGACACGTCTTCGTGAGCGAAGCGGCGGAAGAGTTGGACCGGAGAGTAGTCGCAACCTGCGACTTCGACCTCCCAGCCAAACAACCACCGTCGACTCGCGGACCGTCAGTCCACTGGTCATAGCGATCGGGTCATCTCTTATGAGAGCGCCGCGGGCCCGAGATTCATACCTGTTATGGGAGGTGTCCCGCAAGGGTCAGTTTTCGGGCCTCTGTTGTGGAACATCGCGTACGAATTGCCTGGCGGGACTCATGCTCAATTTGGTAGGGCCGAGAGAGATGTGGTGCAGACTTTTAATCAGCGTCGTACACTCGGTCTTCCTGTACGGGTCCCCGGTTTGGGCGGATACTCTTGAGTATTCGTTAACTCCAACCGGTCCCTCGAACCCGAGGCGCTCTGCATACCCTCTTCCGGTGCGAGGCGTGGGCCCAGGAGCGGGACTCTTTGGAGTCTTGACTAGGGTCCACGTTCCGAGTCGGGTCCATGATAGACTTGATGTTGAGGAGTCGGGAGGCGTGGAGGCTCGTCAAAGCGTTCGCCGAATCCGTCTTATTAAAGAAGGAGGAAGCGGAACGCCTAAGACAGAGGCAGCCACGCCGCCCGGCACAGGAGGACCTGAGGCGCTGGTTTAGGCCAGTGCTTTAGGTTCTCTTTTTTTTGTAATGTTTTATGTCTTGTGAGTTATTTTGGCAGTCCTCCCTAACAGTTCCCACTCTGGGATCCGGTTAACGGGAGGGGGCCACACCACGTAGCGAATCAGCTCTTGATTAATTTCGGGCTGATTCGCAACATGGTGGTGTGAATTATTAAGACGGCGTGGGTCGCCTTGAAGTAATGCCTCACGGCAGTTCCAGGGCAGCCCACAATAATTCCGGTCGTTATAAAAAAAAAAGGGGGTCAGTCATACGATAATGCCAATAACATGTCGGGGCCCTATAAAGGTCTACAGGCAAGAATACGAGAACTCAATCCGTTAGCTTTTTACATACCGTGTGCAGCGCACTCTTTAAATTTAATGGGAACACACTCCATCGAAGCTTCAAATGAATCTGTCAAGTTTTTTTGTCTATTACAACATTTTTATAATTTTTTTTCAGCGTCAACTTACAGATGGTCAATTTTAAAATCTCATTTGAAATCAAATGCTATAACGGTAAAAAGTCTTTCAGTTACGCGCTGGTCGTCAAGGTATGATGCTTATGTCAGCTTATATGAATTATGGTAACAGTACAAGTTCTTAAAGCAATCGAAATAGATAAAACTGAAAAATCAGAAACAATATGTAAAGCACGAGGACTTAGAATACAACTTGAAAAGTTGAAAATGGCGTTCTTGGTTTTCTTATGGGGTTTTCTACTTCACAGATTAAATGCTGTAAGTAAACAATTACAGAATATTAACATTGATGTCTGTACAGTCCTCGAGTTGTATGATTCATTGATTCATTTAGTAGACTCATAGCGAAATTCATTTAATGTATACGAAGAAAAAACACTATGCAAAGTAAAAAACAAAACTTATTTTAAAAATACTATAAAAAGAAAAAAAACAGTTCACCATGACGAAACTCGAGATGGTCAAGTAGATATATTGGCAAAAGACAATTTTAGAATTAACACTTTTTATGTCATATTAGACAGTAAACCATTCGATTTTTTATCAAACTTCGTGAATTAGAAGACTCTAAGATAGTGGAAAAAGCGAATGAACTATTTAACGTTTAAAATTTAGATTTAGAAAAAAATTAGTTAATAAATGAACTATTACATTTTGGTTCTCATCTTATAACAACTTTTAATGAAAAGAAAATTACACAGTTTTTATCTATAATATTTATCTCAACACCAGCCACTAACTATACTGCCGAACGTTCGTTTCGGTTTTAAAGAAATTGAAAAATTGTTTACGATCAACTATGTTGCAAGAAAGATTAAACTTCTTGGCAATGTTAACTATACAGGGTGATTTTTTTATAATAACCCACTCAATTACTTGCAGAATATATATAATTTAAACATATTTTTTTATGGTTTTCTTTAATTACACATTATTCTTGAATTATTAACTATTTAAAACTTTTTATATTCATCCCTTATGCCTTGTTAGGGTGTCAACTTTGTTTTTTTAAATGGGAACACATATTTTTAATTTAATAAAATGTTTGGATTTTTAATTCAATAGTAAATGGCATTTGAATTTTTTGTATAACTTTATTAGTTTATTAGATATAAACATTTAAAGTTTCAAATTTTTTAGTTAATATACATGTATAATACACAAGGGATTATAAATACAGATAGCTAATTAGATTTTTATGACATTGCTGTCACAGTCACGGATTGTTTATTATCCATTATGACTATCAATAGATATACTTTCTGTATTGTCAGTTAGTGTATTATAAACTCACAAAAATGTACCTTACTACCATCAATCATTACAAGCAGGGGAAGTTCCATAAAGAGAAATTGTAGGAAATTTGTTGTATCTTAAGTCAGATTACAAGGCTTGATATAACGTTTGTTGTAAATCTTATCAGTCGCTATTTAGAAAAGCCTCTAATAATAAATTGAAATATAGTGTGACGTATTTTAAAATATTTAAGAAGAACTTATAACTATAGTTTATTTTTTTATTCTAGGGTGAAACTTAAGTTACATGGTTATAGTGATGCAGACTATGATGGCGGTGATACAACAACTAGGCGATCAACATTAGGATACATTATTTATTATTTATTTTCATGATGACCAATGGAATAGTAGCATGGTATTCATAAAGGCAAAAATCGATAGCACTATCAACTGTCGAGGTTGAATACGCATCTCTGAGTCAAGCAGTCCAGGAACTAACTTAGTTTAAACTACTAACAAGTAATCTTCTGGAAACACAGAACTCTCCACATTTCCTTTTGGATCCGTGGAGAGGTTCCCCTCAGCTGTGGCGGTTGTTGAGGATGGCGGTTTCCTGAGTCCCTTTTCCTTACGTAACCCACTTCCTCTCTTCACTTTCGAGATAGGAGTGAAGTGTGTCCGTTTATTTCTTACCTGTGCCTTGCCTTCTTTTTCGAGTGGCACTGGTGATTCTTCATCCTTCTTCTTCCCAGATTTTTGAAGAGCACATTTTTTTTCACATCCTTCTGGGCTGCTTTGCAACTTAGTTCTAGAAGCAACTCTACCCATTCTAAAATATAGACTGCGCTTCAGTTCCTCCAGTTTGACTATGCTCTTCTCGTCCACACATAGGAACAAAGTTTGTCCTTTCGAGCTAACCTCTGTCTTATAGTGGACTTTCCAGATCGCTATGTTCATCCCTGGGTTCAGTTTTGTCAAAATTGAAGATTTTCTTCAATTCTTTTGGCAGCCCTGGTATATGAGTGACCATCCGTTTGTACTTGATCGGGTTGTAAGCTACCATTTGGATTTCTGCACCGTCCTAAGGTTTTATCAGGTTAATATGATCAGTGAGCCACTTAAGAGAGCTCTTTTGGGCTGCACTGATCACAAGTGCTCCATCAATGAGTCAGGTGTCTTCAAACCTTGATACGTCGCACAGTGGGGCAAATGACATCAAAAGTTGGCAAAAATAGCACTTATCGAATTTAACTTATCTTTTCGAATTATAATATACACCAATAAAGGAGTTTATACTGCATTAGAAATCGGTTTCGTGCACGAGTTGTGGCTTAAATTGATTTAGTTACAGCAGTTATAATATAAGTCCGCAGTGTATTATAAAATAAAATTAAACAGTATAATATTATTTTAAATTTTAGTTTTTTTCTATACCTTAGAGATTATTTGTTTATTTAATTAAATTTATCATGGAACCATTAGCAACAGATCAGTTACATTACGTTTTATAAATAACTAGTAATAATAATAACATATACGTCTCACAAAAATTATACTTAGTTTAAGTTCATTTCCAAGTCTTTCCAAGCTTTAAAAATTGCAAAATATAATACTTAATAGAGTATTCTATCACCTCGATAAAAAAATGTTGCCCATATTTGCCCCATTTCCTATTAATAGCTTCTGACTGTGACGATGTATAGCAACTTTACGGGAAAAAAAATATAAATTGCTTAATTTTTTTTTAGAAGGTGGTTGGGTGGTCTAGTATAACTAATTATTTAAAATATTTTTAGGAAATGTACAGTACTTCTATAAGAGAACCAGGCGCAGATCCAAGGGGGGCCAAGGGGCTATAGCCCCCCCACCCACCAGGTTAAATGCTTCTATTAGATTTTTATCTTTAAATAAACAGAATAATCGTGGTCGTCCAGTAGTTGCATTTGAAAAGAGTAGTGAACGAAACAAACGGAAAAAAACTCAAGAACTGAGAAATAAGACGCCTGTTAATATGTTAAGTCATGCAACACAGATGAGCTTAAGGGCATCGGGACAAATTGAAGCAGCAAAATTACTGAAGGAAATAAATACATCCACTCCCACACGTGCAAGTAGATATAGAAAAGTATTTATGCAGTCACAAGCACCTAAAAAACTATCGGGTGATGATGCACTAGCTGTTATAGTAGATGATAAGCTATCTCGACATCAGTACAATATTATTAGGATGAGTGCCCTCGATAAATTTCCATCATAGAAAGTCGTACAAGAAAGTTAAAAACAATGTTATCCGAAACCAAAAGATATACAAGTAACTTCTACACACGCAGAAGTTTTTTTACAAGCATTACTTGATCACACAGTAAAAAGATTATTTTTAGTACAAAAGCCTGTTATTGACTTACTCCCAGAAAATGAATTGGATAAGTTTATTTTATATTCGAAATGGGGCTTTGTTGGTAGCTCTGAAGATAGTCCATATAAACAGGTTTTTTGTAGTCCTGGAGCCAGTGATTCGGCTGTATTTATTACAAAATTAGTTCCACTTCGCTTGGTAAATGGTTACCAAATTATATGGCAAAATCCACGTCCTGCATCAACTAGATATTATAGGCCTATAAAAATTGAATTTATAAAAGAATCTATGGAGACATCTATACCTAAGAAAGAAAAAGTTAAGAGTCAAATAAATAAGTTAATTAATAGTACTGGGTCTTTTGATAATAAATCATTTATTGTAACTCACAATTTGATTTTAGCAATGGTTGATGGAAAAATATGTAATGCACTAACAGATACGACATCAACACTTAAATGTTTCTTGTGTGGTGCAACATCGAAAGAGTTTAATTTAATTGATGAAATGGTTAAACGAGAGGTAAAACCTGATAATTTATCTTTTGGGATATCAGTTTTACATGGGTGGATTCGTTTTTTTCGAATATCTCCTCCATTTGTCTTTCAAATTACCACTCAAAAAATGGCAAGCTAGGAGAGATAGAAAAAAAATTGTTTCAGAAAACAAACTTAGAATCCAAAAAAAATTTAAAGAAAAATTACGATTACTTGTAGATAAACCCAAACCAGGATTTGGAAATTCTAATGATGGTAACACAGCTAGACGTTTTTTTCAAAATTCAGAAATTTCTGCTGAAATTACAAAATTAAACATAGAATTAATAAAAAATATACATATAGTAATGATAGTAGTAGCTAGTGGACTCGAAATAAAAATAATGAGTTTCGAGAATACATGTTTAAAACTGCAAAATAGTTTGTTGAGAAGTATCCGTGGTATAATATAACACCCACAATGCACAAGTTTTTATTCATGGGCCAGAGATAATTGAATCTGCTTTATTGCCAATATGACAGTTGACTGAAGAAGTCCAAGAAGGATGAAATAAAGATTTTAAGAGATATCGAGAGCATAACTCAAGGAAATGTTGTCATGAAAAAATTTATTTAGATATGTTAAATTTGTTTTTATTAAGTTCAGATCCAGTAATTTCAAGTAAAAAAAAACTGCCCAAGAAAAAAACACAATTAATGCCAATTGAAGCACTTGCATTTTTAAAATCACCAGATGTCTGAGTCTCTCTTCAATATGCCAAAGATAGTGATGATGATGATGATGATGATAACAATGATTACGATTACGATAATGATGAAAATGATGACGATAACCATAACTAATTTTAAAATTAAAACTTAAAATAATACATTTTTCTTTTATTAATAAATTGAATAGCTATTTCTGTAAAAATGTCTTTAAAATAAATAAATACCTTATGTTAATATTATGTAAATGACTTTTTATGTCTGATAGACAAAAATAAAAGTAATAATAATTTTAGGAATATATTTTTTGCTCTATGATTTAATGCCAACTTTTGAAGCTCGTTGGCCCGCTGTGCGTCGGTTCCATTAGAACCCGAAAGAAACAAGTCTCCAACATAAGATTCAATGAGTAGCTCCTGTTCTGTGGTTAACTTGTTAGTGGGGTAGTCTGCCAGGACCAGAGCCATTTTTTTATCATCGGTTATCACATTCCTGTAAGTCGATACCCAATGAGTTTTCTTACACGGAGGTTCTAGCCCCTTGTCCTCAGGTTTTTGAGCTTCGGTTCCCTTTTCTCCCTCCTGTGGTAGGTTTTTCTGTCCCTTCATGATTGCTCGGCTCCTCTTCAGCTTGCGCCTCTGACTGCCGCTCAGTTTCTCTGGTCTAAGTTTTAGACCCTCGATTTTGTCAGCTACTGCTCCCAGTTAATCTTGCGATCCCTGGTCTGCATTTGTTGACGTTACCGTCTCTTTGCTAGTAGACGGTTCACCAAGTGTCCCGTTGTTCGCATTAAGATCTTCAAGTTCGGCGATTCTTCTTCGAAGAGTCGAAGGGACACTGTTTGTCCCAAGTTCGTTATTTTGTGGTGCTTATATGTTTTTATCCATGTAGTTTCCACGAGTAGTCCAGAAATAAATATCACAACAGAGCTCGATACTGTGACAAGGTGTACTGTATACTCTATGGTGCGCCAGATGTCATAAAGGATCCCAATGGTCACTTTACCTTTCGACTAACTACCCTGTGACAAGTTAGTAACCCTTTCACTTGGTATGGCTTGGTTAGGGGGGGCCTATTCGCTGTTAGCAAACAGGTGTGCCCAGGCCTACCGGTCCCAACTAACCAAAGTCATGACCGGCTAAGAGCAGTGGTACGTGTTGCCACCCCTACTGAATTAACTAGGGTCTGTGGAGTTGTTAGGTCCATGATTCTTGTGGTTTCCCCTGCGGGTTCAATAAACATATAATAAATGATGCAACCAAGAGTCATTTTTGGAGATTATTTTTTAAAATTATTATTGAAAGTTGCAGAAATTCTTCATAAATTTTCTAGTTGAAAAATAGAACATTTTTTTGAAGTCTTACGATAAAAAGATGAACAATAAAATAATTGATTGAAATTAAAATTCTTCCCAAAAACAAAAACTCCACGCGCCACTAAAAATAATTATAATTAATTACCTGTTTTTTTGAATAATTCATTAAATTGTTAAAATATAAACTTTAAAATGTATATGTGAATACTCGGATTGCTTAATATTGAATGCCATGCATACTGCTATAGTGAAAGAATTTACATCTGTGCCTAGAGCCTTTCGAATAGTCGTTAAATGATATAATCTTATAAAGATGACTCAGATAAGTTATACAACATCTATTACATCTATACATCTATAACAACTAATAATATTGACACGGATTTTTTATACATTAATGTCTTGCAGATGTTTTTAATCCGACCCCTGATTTCAACTATTTATAAAACTTTACATTTAGTGGCATGAATTAAAAATATTTTTCTATTTAGGGCAAGTGAGACTTATTGTATAGGAGAGTCCCTTTAAATTGCATTTAATAATTCATATTTAAAAATATTCTATATTCATGTTATTTTAGTAACTAAGTATTAACTAAATTAGTTCGAAATTCAAAACAACTAGCTTTTAATTTAATTAGTTACTATCAAATAAATAATATTCGTCAGTAACATGTAAATTTAAGGTTTTTAATTTTTATTCATTAAAAGTTAAATTTGGATTTCTTATGTAATGATGAACGTTATTTACCGTTATGCACCTAATTTCCCTATAAATATCAAATGACATTTTTAGAAATAATATTTTATAAATTATGTTATTATAACATTTTTTATTTTCTTAGTTACATAAAATTGTTTAACATATAGTATTTAATACTTAAAAAAAATTACTTTTCACTAAAATTGTGTAAATTATATAATTAGGTAAATATATAAAATTTAATAGATAATTTCTGCGAAAGTAATTGATGTTATGACAGTATCTCAAGTACCAACTCTCAAACCAAAATTTTTTTTTGGTCTTACAACTGGCGTGACCGGCAATTGTATGTTCATTAACAAAAACGAAATTGTTTATCCAGCTGCTGGATTAATTATCGCACATAATTTTACTCAAAATTCTCAACGATTTTTACATTTATCAGAACCACAAAATACTATTACAGCAATGGATATATGTATAACCAAGTATTTAATTCAACATTTATAAAATTCAAAGTTTTTTTGATTATATTGTTATTTTTATTTAAATTCTAAATATATTTCTCAAATGTGATTTTAGTGTTTACGAAAATATATTTTAGGGGTTTAAAATTTTTTTTTTTGGCATTTCAACAAATATTTGTTTAAATACTATAGTACTATTTTATAACTATGGTATTTCATACTGCAGTGTAAAATGAAGAAGTGCAGTTCCATATGTTTAAATTCGATTTTAAAGTAATTTTACTTAATTATGAAGCTTTTCTTTTTTCAATATTATTGTTATTTTGACAAATAATAAAACTATATTTTATGAAACTATTAATATTTATATTTATAATGGCCATAAAGTTTGAAAAAAAATGTTGATATTTTTAATTATATATATATTTTTTATTTTACAGTTAATAAATACTTTTTATTATCATTTATTTTGGCTTATAAAAGTGTCAACTTAATTTTTTAAATAGAAACATATTTTTAACTATCTTATACAGTAGGAAATTATCTAATTATGAAATAAATGTGTTGATAATAATTTTCGGACCACTATTTCGGAAATTATTAAGATTTTTATATCTGGTTCAGAGAAAGAGTGCGACCGAGAAATGTCTTATGATACAATAGTCACACACTTTTTCCTCGGTCTATATTTTAAAATCGATTTAATTTTCGAAGTAATTTTTCAAAAACTGTTATCGATCTACCATTTTTTTATTAGATTATTTCTTATTTTCTAAGCTAGTTAAATATGTATGCTGATATTTAAAAGAATTAAGTTAATACCTTGTAAGTTATAAAGAATGTTGCTAAAAAATAATTAATAACTGATAAAGTAAAAATTTTATATAACTATAAAAGAAACCAAAATTTTTTTGTCTATATCGTATCTATTTTATAAGTAATTAAGTGGGTTATGAATCCTAATTTCATAAACAGATATATAGTCTTTATATATAAATTTCAAAATTTTTAAAAGGTGTAATTTTTTTTTGTGGGGGGGGAGTACATCTGTGCTTCTGCCCTATATTAACATATGTATGTGTCACATACGTCGAGAGGTGATGATGAGAAACTACGTTTATTTGAGAGAAAAGTTCTTAGAAAAATGCAACAATTATTTCCGTATTCAACAATACGGAATAGATACGGGAAATATGAACGAACGATCAACTATGCCAGCTTTACAAAAGAGAAGATGTGGTCCAATTCACCAGAGGGACAAGAATAGAATGGGGAAGTCTTGTATGACGGGCCAATGGTTTGTTGAAAGGAGCATTGACATATATGATGAGAGGAAAAAGATAAAGAAGAAGACCGCGGAAAAGATGGAAGGACAGTGTCAAAAATTATTAGAAGAAATTGAAGTGGACTGGTAGCAGGCATATGATAGAGAGAGATGGAAGGATATAGTTTTGGCCAAGAGCCTAAATGGCTCGTAAAAGCATTTAAAAATTTTTTTTTTGGTGGGGGAGGAGGTTTAATCTCCTAATTCTGTTTAAAGTAATGGTACTAATTTGATATATGTACGAATTTTTTTATTATATTATTTTATTTTATCTTCATGATTGTTTCAGAAACCTTTTAGCAGTGGCTGATAAAGGTGAACAGCCAACTGTATGTTTGTATGATTTAGAAACGTTTAAAAAGAAACGAGTAATGCCTACCCCTGCAGGTCTTGTCGGTAATTCATTCGTGCAAATCAAGTTTACCTGCGATGGTTCATATTTAGCAGTTTTGTCTGAAGGTCCTGATTATTTTATGTACTATTACGATTGGTTGCGTTCAAAAATTGAAAATGAAATGAAAGCAATTAATCCACCTGATATTGTTGGACCGGTTTTTGATGTAATTATTACTTTTGACATGATATTACTTTTAGTATATAAAATTTTGTTAGATATTTTATAATTTCACTGGATCAGATTAGATGGTACCAAATCCAGTCGATCCACGAATAATGTGTTTTGTGGGTAAAAGACTTTTTCGGTTAATGATGTTAGGTGATTTAACGTGGAAGCAGTATGGGTTTCAAAAAGCCGATAACTTTGAAATAACCACAGCATGCTGGTTGACAAAAAATACGTAAGAAACCAAAATTATACTTAAATAATTCATTGTTTAAACCCAGGCTTATTTCATAGACTTTGATAACTTTATTCTAGAAAATTTTTATAGAGCTATTTAGTCATATAATTTTTAAAATAATAATGACTCTTATATTAGTAGGAATTCTATCCTTTTAGTTCACTGGTTAAATAAATAAACAGAATAAATTATAGAAAAATCTTTATATAATTTTAATAATAATAATACTCTTTTAAGAATAGTAATTTGTAATTTATACGCACTAAAATGAGATAAAATCAATAACAGTACGGTAAATTTTAATAATTTGTAGTAATAATATACAAAATTTTCAAAATAATAATAATTGATACTTTTTACCGGTTACTATACAGGGTCATTTTTTATTATAACCCACTCAATTACTTGCAGAATATATATAATTTAAACATATTTTTTTTTTTGTTAAAAAAATCACTCTGTATATTGATAAAAAATTCAGTCAAAGTATAATAAATTTAAAATTGTTTCATAATAATAATAATAACAAAGTTTAAATAAAAATAAAATCTAAAAATTAAAAAACCACTATTAGGTCCGAAGTTATTTGTTTTTTAAGTTATTGTATTTATTGAAGTTGTGTTTTGCATTTCGTTTTTTTATTCATAAGTTTGTATGTTATTTTAATAAATATTATTTGTTTGATGTAGGTTTGAATTAAAGTTCATTTTTCTGAAGTAATATTAGGATTTTTTCTTAAAATCAACATCCTCATCCTATAAAGGGTGTTTGAAAATAAATAAATTTTCAAGTACGTCTTAGTTTATTGTGTTTGTTAAAAGATTTTTCAACCAGTTATGCTTAAATAATTTTAGAAGCACTTTAATTTTATTAATTTCTATGAGAATAGACTTTCGAAATATCTGAAATTTCGCTGTACACACATCGGATGTATAAAAGAGTATAAGCATCATGTTATAGCGTAATATGATGAACTACGTCACAACGTCAAATACCCCTTTTTTCAATATTTTATAAATGAGGCAACTTTCATCATGTATAAACATTGGATAAAAATCACTGTTAATAGATTTAATCACAGAATTTTAATTATATTTTCTATAATTGGAAAAAAAACAATGATATTAAACAATTTAATATGATGAAATTGACCCTTTCAAAATGCCTGAACGGTAGCTTCAATTATTTGCGTGGTTAGTATGGGAACCAATCTATTTTGTTATATATGTATTTCTAGTGGATTATTGATTAAAATATATTTTTTTTTTGTAATTCTAAGAATAACCTAAAAGAGATAAAAAATAAAAGTCGCCAGATCTAAAAGAATGAAGATAAAATATTAAGAAAAATTAATCATTTCGGAATTAAAGGTTTATTAAATCAACTCTCTATCTCCAGTTGTTCAATAACATTATGAACATGTAGTATTATAGAATTTGAGTAAAACTATTTAAATTCTTTTTAGCCTTGATGCATAGCTGGAAGGTATTGTTTTTACATTGTAGTATTTTTTTAGTAGTCTCTGGCTCCTGTTGGACTAATTTAGCTCAACGATACGTTAAAATATCACAAAACGTATCTATTTTAGTTTTATTATATATATATATATACATATAAATATTAGGATTGGGTTTGACCAACTTTAAAAAATCGAATGGAAGAACGCCATATTTTGTTCTATGTAGTAAATAAAAATTGTTCGTAAAATTTAAATATTCTAGGTCAAATTTTGGGTCGAACTATATTTAGTTATCAATTAATAAAATATCCTTACCTCGCTTATTCTTATTCTTGTTTATTATGCGAATTTTTAAGAAGTAAAGCATGCAAATAAATATTCGCACTTACCTTTATTTCCTTTTGTAGTTGACTGAGTTAATTTTATGGTATTTTCTTGCTGCAGTGTTAACAATCGTTTATAAAGTATTGCGTTTATTTCAATTAATTAGACTTTGTGTGTATATTAGATTTGGAAAATATTCTCTAGAATGAGACCTACGTCTATTATGATTTGTTACCTTTTTATATTTAATATAAAGTTTAAGTGTTTAAGTGTTGTAAAAATGCTGCCGAACGATAAAGTTAATGGCAGAACTTAACACCCGGCTTACTAAAAATGAAAAAAAAAGCAGTATGTATTGAAAGTATGTTCTTAAGTAACAATTTTTTCGAAAATCAAAGTAAAAATGCAATTTTTGTTATTTTAGGTGGTAGAGCAATATAATAATAATTACCCTAGTCATAGAAAAGATATTCTAACAAGAGATGCTCAAAATAATATTATATTTTACTAATGTTTACAGTTAAAAATAAACCTTTATTTAACTAAAAAAAAGGTTATTATTCAAATAATGGTTGATAAAACCTTATTAAAATTAAAAAATATATGAAGTTTGAAATAAATCTTATAAATTATTTATAGTGAAATAACTTTTGGTTTTTTACAAAAATTATCATTTAATTTTTTTAATTTTCGAACTATATCGCAATGATATTTTGAAGGTATTCTTGCCTTTTTCCAAAGTAACAAGATTTCATCAGTAACAAGAGCAGAATTATCATTGAAATATAACAAAGCAAATTCACGGTGATGAGATCACCGATTTTCATAAAATTTATTTAGATCTTATCTATATTGAATACAGAATCAGATGTATTTGGAATTTTTTGCTAATGCCTGCCCTAAGTCGAAAAAATTGACTTAGAGAATTTTTAATCAGCTTAAATAGAGTAATTTTTCTTCAGGTGTGAACTTGTACTATGGTATAGTCGACAATACGTAATTCTATAACACGTACAGACTCGGGATCGAATCTCCTCGATTGATGACATTTTTTGCATTTTTTCACTGTTTTCTCTTTGAATTATTAATTTTATGTAATATTTGTTAATTATTTTTTTACAAACAAATTAAGATACTAAAATTTCACTAGATATCCTCTGTTACCAGGTAGTTCAGTGGGAAAGTTCTCGTCATGATGGTGAGGTAAATTAAGTTCAAATCCCAACCACTGAAAAATTTTGTTTCAGTTTTCACAATTTTTTTTTAATATTTTTTTTAACGTAGCTTTTGAAAATAATTTATTTAAAAATTATTTTGAGTAACAAATTGAAAACTACTTAGAAAAACATGCATATAGTGAAATAATTTTTGGTTTTTTACAAAAATTTAATTATTTTTTTAATTTAAACTATAATTTTGTTGCATTTTAAATATTTAGAGAGATATTGGCAAAAAATGAAAATAATTGTTTTTTTGAAAAAAAAATTTTTATAGTATTTTTTAATTTTTATGCTTCGCGGTCGATTATACGTAAGTATATGTAAAAATCTTTTATTTAGCTAATATGTTATCCTACAAAACTGATTCTATAGTTTGTTCTGTTATCTTAATATTTTAAATAATAGACGCAAAGTACTAAAATTATATTCGTTTTCGACATGTTTCAACCCCTTTGAGGCACTTGAAGGAGTTGACCTAGAAAACTCAAATTTTATGAATAATTTTTATTTACTACATAGAACAAAATGTGAGGTTCTGCCATTCGATTTCTTAAAGTTGGTAAAATAAGGACCACCCTAATATATATTATATTATATTAGCTTCAATGCGAAGCTGAGAAGGTATTAATTTTACTATGACGTGTTTTTTTTTTTTGTCAGTTACCACTTTTTCTCAGCTCTCACCGAACCAATTTCTTCCAACGATACGTCAAAAGATCACAAATCATATCTAGTCCCAGAAAATACCCTCAAAAATTGAAAAAATTTCCGTCGTTCTCCGTAAATGAGGGAAGTCTCCAAAAAAATTATAAATTTAAAAATCGAAATTTTTAAAATTTTTTTTACTAAAACTGCCATAACTTTATTCAAAATGAGCAAATCAATACATTTTTGTTTTTAGCTTCGTTTTAATCAAAATTAATAAAATAAAATAAACGCTAGGTTAATTGATTGATAAAATAATTTCATGCAGCCAGATGAAACAGGTCCAACTGTAGAAGAACAAATTGAAAAGGTAATAAAAGAAAAAGCTGAAATGTGTGGCGTTTGTTTTATTTTATATTTCAAATAAAATAATTTATAAACTTAAGATTTTTATTTTTCAGTAGAGTAGTGATTGAACTTACTTGAATTTGTCTAATATTGTGTCACTTTTAGGCTGAAAATTTAGGCCCAAGTTATGGCAATAAATTTATTTTTTTTTTATTATAAACTTTCACAAAAAAAGTAGGTTGAATATGATTACTTTTAACATATTAAAAATCAATAATAATTTGAAAACAATTATAAAAGTTATAAAATATATAATTAAAAGAATATATATTATAATTTTGAATCTAAGATTTACTAATCTGGATATAATTAAGGAAATAGAAGTTGATGTTGCTTTTGTAATTATCCACAAATTTCTTAGAATACTCTCTACAGATTTGCTTCGAAGCGTTTTTTATGATAGTGATTTTAATCACTGTCAGATTAAATCTATACTGGACCCAACTATACCTCGTCCCCACTGTGCTGGGTTTTGTTTACTTACATACTAAGTATTCTCTTTAGAGTTTTGGCCGGTACGGTAGACGGAAGATTAATATTAATCGATGATGGTGATCTAAAAGCTATTTATACCGTTCAGAATCTCATTGATCTGGATCCCACTATCAAGTTAAAAAATCCTGCAGATGTAATGTCAATTTTGCCTAAAGATGAAAAAAAAGTGGACATAAAGTGTTGTATTTCCTTTGATAAAGGAATTTTGTTTATGGTCGGCAACTTCGAAGTGTATTATTACGAATTAAAAATTGATGGAAGGTATGTTTTTATTTTATTTATTTTGTATTTTTCTTATGAGTGAAATAAATTTTAACTTTGATAAAGTATTAAAAAAATTACAAAACAATCTATATCTGCACATATGGTGTTTAGGGGTGTATATATGATAAAGGAGGATAAATTATGATCTATTTAAAAACAATAATTCTTAAAATAGTTGTATTAAAATAAGTTTTTATATGTTTTTTTAATAATTGATTTATTTTTTCGAAATATTTTTTATATTTCCCCGTTGTTCATTTCTATCTGGGGGAGACAAAATTATGAGATATTGATCAATAATATTTTCAAATAGGTACAAAAAACGCCATGTATTAACTTTAATAGATAATAATGAATTAGGACAAAAGGACTCCTTGAACGTTATTGAAACTATATGTCTGAACATAGAAAATGACACTGTAGCGTGTATCACTAAGCTTTCCCAAATATATTGGGTAAAATTTATTGGAAAAGAGGACATGATATTGGTAAGTTGTAATTAGACGTGATACTATTTTTTTCGTTGGTGTGGATAATAATCGAGTATTTAATAACCTCCTTATTTTTCCTCGCCTTACTCCCAACTACTTCGGGTCGACCAAGTATTTATTTACCAATTTAATATAATCTGTTTTATTTTTGTATAACAATCTTTGTAACAATTTTTCGAATTTAATTTTTTTTTTACGGAATATTGTTGGACTAAAAAATTTTAATAGATTCGTGAAATCAGAAAAATCTCAGAGTAACCCTATTATTCATAATAATCGTGTTGTCACTGAACGTGTTGATTGTTTAATTAGTTAAGAAACTCATATTTTTTTTTCTACAATACTATGAATTTTACTTATATGTAGTTACATAGTACAATATTCCTGCCTTAGCTTTAATTACTAATTAACAAAAACTTATTAACAAAATATGATAATGAAAAATATTATTTGGATATTTAAATAGAATTTATCGGTTTAAAAATATATAAAAATTTAATCCTTAAATAATAAAATAATTTGTAGAAGTTCTTGCCATTAGGAGTGAGACTCCATCATGGTTGTATATCTAATCTATCTGTATGCAAATGGAAACCATTTTTTATGACTTGTGGAAAAGAAGACCGCACTATTAAAATGTGGAATTATTTAGAATGTACATTGATATTCACTGAATTATTTGATGAAGATGTTCTGAGTTTATCTTTACATCCTACTGGTTTGTACTGTGTAACGTCATTTCGGAGCAAGGTGGTTTTTCAACTAGTTCGTCCCAAAAGTTTAAATATTTGGCGAAAATTTCCAGTGAGAGATTGTCCCATTGTGCAGTTTAGCTCATCAGGCCACATGTTCAGTATTATCAACAACTTAAAAGTGGAAATTTATTGTTCTGTGACTTTTGAAAAACGTTTTGAATGCATAGGGCATACAGATATTGTAAATTGTTTCTGGTCTAATTACTTATAGTTATTTCCCAATCATGAACTATTTTAGATTACTTGTATGAACTGGTCTGCACATGACTGGAAGTTGTATACTTGTGGCTCCGATGGGGCAATTTATCACTTCAACTTATATACAGGGGAAATGGTCTTAAATGTGTTACAAATTGATCAAAAATTCAAAGAACTAACTGTATCAAGTGATAGTAAACAAATATTTCCTACTGCTTCAGATGGCAGGATTCGGGAAATATATAACAACACTGTTAATAAAACTTTATAATTAATAAATGAAAAAAATGACTTAATAGTGAACGTAATAATTTATTGTAGATAATAAGAAATAAAGAAATGGATTCCTTTCAACTTTCCGGAGCAGTAGTGTTGTCAAGATCAGATTCAATGCTCTTCTATGCTCAAAAAAATGGTGTTATTTTATCTTTATTATTGCCATTAAGAAGTACACTAATGTATAAGGAATTTCAGGCACATAATTCGATAATAACTAAGGTAAAATCATATAAGTATGCTTTCAGTTGATATATTTTAAGTTTTCAGATTAAACTATCAATTGACGACTCAGTTCTTCTTTCAACATCGATCGATGGAAGTATATGTATTTGGGATATAGTTGATGCTCAGGGTATGATGGCATCTATGAATGATGATTTTGCTTACTCAGAAGAGTTATTAATGTCATCCTCAACTATGAAAGAAAAGATAAATTATATTGAACACCTTAAAACAAAAGAACAAGAATTAAAAAGACAAAGAGAGTATACAATATCAGAATTACAGAAAACTAAAAATAAACGTGTTTTAGAATTGCAAGAAACTCATTCTAAACGATTAGAACAGTTAGAGAGCCTCAAAAATGTAAAAATAAACATTTATTTAATGAAAATACCCTGTAAAGAATATTTTAGAAACGTTTAGTCTTTTTCATTAGTCATGCAATATCATTTTAGAAATTTAATATTTCTATAAATATGAAAATTAAGAGCATAAAATATTTTTTTTTTTTGGAAAAAATAAAGAAAAATAAAAAAAATAAAGTTTTCTAGATATAAATTTATAAATTACGTTTTCTAGTATAAAAATATTTTCTAAAATTAATTTTTTTTTATTGTAATATTTTTATTTAATCGCTCTATAAATAATATCTAAATTCATTCTTATCTATAGAAATATGCGGTAGTCTTTACCCTTGATCCATTGAATATTCCAATTTTTAATAACTAAAATATTTAAAGTGAATATTTAGATTAAACAAAATTGTCTCAAAGATTATTCTCCTATGTAAGATTAGTCAATTAAGTTAAAAAATTTTTATTTATTTTTCAATGATTATAATTTAAATTACTCTAATGAATAATAACATATGACTAATATTTTAAAGTATTGCATATTAGTACCTATTAAGAATATATTGTATAATCCATATTTTAAGTCGTTTTAAATGTAATTTTATAATTTATAAGGTTACACTTATAACAGCTAACCTACAAAAAATGTCTTTGTATTGCCAATTGTTATAAAATTTGATTTTTTGTTCTAATTTTTCGAGTTTTCTCCCTAAAATTCTATTAATTTTCAGTCATCATGATATCTAGTAATAATTACAAAATTCTTTCTTTATTAAAGTTATAGAATTCTACATAGTTTACATTAATTTTTATTTTAATGCGATTTTAGTCATTTAATAGATAAAATAGATTTTGATACCAGTTTTAAATTCTAGTTCAAATAATATAATTTTATACAGAAGAGAAATCTTCGATTTGATACTCAAAAAGGAAGTCTTGAAGATGAAATTAACAAAGTTAAAGAATTCAACGATAAAGAAATTAAATCATTAGATGTAAAATATAATGATGCATTAATGGTGGAATACGAAAAATATGCAAAATTAGAGGAAAAAACGTTTAGAGTACATGAGGAAATTGAAAGGTTTTTATATTAACTACTTAAATAAAAATATTTATATTATATTATTCTTTATATTGGTAGGAAAATAAAAGAGTTGACGGCCATAGAAACTGCAAAATTACAAGAAATAAAAGATCAATTCGATCGAAATGTGGCAGAAAAAGAGAAAGTTGTTTTACAAGTTAGAAATTTAATGATAATAATGTATAATGATTAAATATTTTTTGGGATGTTTTGATGATTGTTTTAAATGTAGTTCAGACTAAAAATACCCATAGGATTAAATTTCAGTAGTAGAAAACTCAATAGATATGTAAAAGTTATTACCCCTAATGGATGTAAATAGTTAAAAAATATGAGGGTGCTGAATATAATTTTCCCATACTTTTATATAAACATAAATGTAATTTTTCAAAATTATTATAAAATTAACAAATCAATTAAAAAAAATTGTGTATAATAATGTAAACAATATGTACATTTTTTAGGTAAAAGAAGATTATGCAAAAGAAAAACAGGAAATTTATTTAAAAATTGATGCAATTGAAGACAACCACGAAAGAAATAATTTAGAAAGAGATATAACTTCGATTGCTAAATTGAAGCAACTAAAGAAAATTAATACAAATCTTAACAAAGATCTCGCTATCTACATACAAAAATCTAAAGTGTAAAAAATATATAACTGTTAACATTAAATTATAAAAAAATTAATTTTTTCAATTTTTAGTTCAATTAAAAAAGCCGAAGATTACTCTAAATTAGTTACTAAGTATATTGAAGATATTGAAAAAACAAAAGCTAAACATAAAGTTGAAGAAGAGCTAATAAATGTGTATCAGGATCAATTAAAAATTCAAAAAGACATGATAGATAAGATAGATGCTGCAATATCAGATGGGAAATTAAAGCAAAGTCGTGTAGTAAAAGAGATTATGATATTAAAAATCAGTCAAAATGAACAAATACTTATGATTGAACCCCTGAAGTCTTTGATGAAAGAAAGAAACGAAGCTTTTGAAGGGGCGAGTAAAATATATTATTCATTGCTTGTAAAATTTAATTAAATATTATTTAACACATTTGATATATTTTAGCTTCGATGCGAAGCGGAGAAGGTATTAATTTTACTATGATGTGTTTTTTTTTTTTTTATGTCTGTTGCCACTTTTTCTCAGCTCTCACTGGACCGATTTCTTTCAAAAATACGTCAAAAGATCAAAAATCGTATCTAGTTGAAGACATTACCCTTAAAAATTGAAAAAAATTCCCTCGTTCCCCGCAAATGGGGGAAATATCCAAAAAAATTACAAATTTAAAAATCGCTAATTTTCGAAATTTTTTCACTTTTTTTTCTTAAAACTTCCATAACTTTTTGAAAAATCAACAAATCAACATAATTTTTTTTTATACTAAAACCTTAGATATTTACCTTTCATTTGATATCATTTTTTTGAAAATCTATCACTTAACCTGCTCATTGGGGGGGATTTAAAATGGCAACTTTTTTACAAAAATTAATTTTTTCAACTTAATTTTTGAAAATGTTCCGGAAAGACTGCGTCCTTTAAACATATATCAAATTAAAGCTTATTTTATGTACTACAAAATGAAAAAAAAAAATTTGTCCCGACACTTTTTTTTCTACATTTAAACGGCTGCCGTAGTTAAAAAAACACTATTTTTGTGTTAAAATTTTCGATTTTCGATTTTAAATTTTCAACTTAAAAATGCTATAACTTTTTGAAAAATGTATATATCAGCACAAATTTTTTTTTTCTAAATACATTATAAGTACATCTTTCATTTGACATACTTTTTATTAAAATTGGACAATTTCCCCTTATATAGGGGGCGTTCAAAACTTAAAATATTGTAAAAAACATAGATCTTTTTCAACTGAACTTTTGAAAATGTTCCGGAAATACTGCGTCCTTTAAACATATATCAAATCAAAGGTTATGTTATATACTATCAAATGAAAAAAAAAAATTTGTCCCGACATCTTATCTTCTATGTGCAAATGGCTGTCGAAAATTTAAAAAAAAATGTAATGTTTGCGATAAAAATTACATTTTATCGGGATGTTTTTTGTACTTAAAACTGCCATAACTTTTTCAAAAATGAACAAATAAAAATAATATTTTTTTGTATTGAAACCTTAGATATTTCCCTTTCATTTGATATAATTTTTTTTGAAAATCTAACACTTATTCTGCTCACTGGGAGGATTTAAAATAGTAACTTTTTTACAAAAAATAACTTTTTCAACTTAATTTTTGAAAATGTTCCGGAAATACTGCGTCCTTTAAACATATATAAAATTAAAGCTTATTTTATGTACTACAAAATGAAAAAAAAAAATTTGTCCCGACGATCTATCTTCTATACGCAAATGGCTACCATATTGAAAAATATACTATTTTTGTATGATAATTATGGGTTTTGTATTTTATTTTAATAGAAGTTGATGTTGCTTTTGCAATTATCCATCAATTTTTTAAAATTAAACACTATCTACAGATTTGCATCGAAGCGTTTCTTATGATAGTGATTTTAATCACTGTCAGATTAAATCTATACTGGACCCTACTATGCAATGTCTCCACTATGCCGCGACCCCACTGTGCTACCGTTTTTTTTCTAATAATGCCCTTTTTCGTTTTACTTATTTTCAATTTTGATAATGATATTTTTCAATAATTATAGAGGTTGGATTAATATCATCTGACTGCAATTCAACTGGTATATTCTAGAAAGAGAGTTGAGTGCAATACATTTTATATGACCTGCATATTTTGATATTAATTTTTTTTAAATATAAAATTGTTTTGACTATAAAATATTTTGAAAACATTTTTTATATATTTTATTTATCAGGTAACTCATGAATTAGATGATAGATCACGAGCTAAATCGCGCACAGAATTTGCACTAAGAAATCAAAGAGATTCAATTAAACAAGCCACTAGAAATGTAAAGATAAAGGAAAGTATGGTTAGAAAAGTTTATGCATTCCTTAGAAATATAAGAATAGATATTCATTATGTATATGAGTGTTCCGATAATCAAGTTAAGCTGAAAGAGTCTGTTAAGGTAATAGTTCTCAAGATAAATCTCTCAAGATAAAAGTAAAATTGTGTTATATTTGTTATGTTTTTGTGGTGGTCATAGAATCTTTTCCACAAGTACCATAGAGTTCAAGCAAACGAAGGATCTCTTGTAAAAGAAGGTGCTTTTGCAGAGATGTTAAGACAGAGACAATTTTTAGAGCGCTCTCTTCATAGTTTAAGAAATCGGATCTCAGTATGTGATCAAAAAATTAATACAGATAAAAAAATTGTGGAGGACAATGTCACTCTTTTAGAGACAGTTAATAAGTTAAGAGAAGATCTTGTTGTAAATCAATCGAAGTATAATACTCTTAATCGTATAATAGGATCAGGTGATAATAAATTATTGACACCTAAACAAGCAAAACATTTATTAGAAAAAGTCAATAAAAATGTCGATGAAATGCGTGAAAATTATATAGATCAAATTAAAGTAAGTCTAAATCTTAAGTTAGTATCTATTTATTGAGAAATTAAATTATTAATTTTTTTTAGAAGCTCCAGTCAAAAGTTAAGTATCTACAACTTGAATTGATTCAAATAAAATCCGAAAAAAATTTGTAGCTAAAAATTGGATACTAATTGTTCTCGTGTATTTTATTAATGTGCGCTAAAGTTTTTTTTTATTAATAATTTATTTATAATCATATTAGAAATTGTTAATATTTAATACTTGTAAAAAAATGTATGTGATAGATTCACATAATGTATATTTTTAAGATGACTCTTAATTCGAATGACTGATGAGATCTAAATAAATGAAATAAAATCTAAACAAGTATAAATATAGGATTAGAATATTACTACATTAAAAACTCAAAATTTTTAATAACATAATTAATAAAATAATAAAACTCACTTTTTATTAACCAAAAAAAAAATCTATCCTTTAAATGAACTATTAAATGTAAAAAAATGTAGCATCTTAAAATCTTTTTTTTTTTTTTTTTAAGAACGTTTATTAGAAAATTTACAATCTATACAGCTATATGTACAATAAGTAAATATGTGAATAGGAATAAAATAGACAATTATATGGCGGTGAGGAGGAAGCTCACATTAGAGCCACCTGTGTATTATTAATTTTAAGTGGGTTCAATAATATTGAGAAGGTCTCTTGACCAGTTGCGTTTGAAGCGTCTGTTTGGATTGCCCGGAAGAATTGTTGAATGTAGCTGAGTAACAAGACGGTTTGAATGGGATTGCATTTTGGAATGTAGTATTTTGTAATATATGTGTGCAGTTTTTTAACTGTAGCTATTTTGAGGTCTTCGTGGAGGGAGTTGTTGGTGACATATCATGGTGCTTTGGTTATCATACGGAGACAAATAGACTGGAACGCCTGTATTGTCCTTATGTTAGACGGCTTTGCAACACCCCAGAGCGCGATACCGTATGACCATATTGGTTGGAGGAGGGATTTGTAAAGAAGTAGACGATAGGATATGTGCTGGTTGTGTTGAATGAGCGGTCTTATTAGATGAAGACGAGTATTTAGCTGTTTCCGTTTACTTTTAAGATGAGGACCCCATGTGAGCGTTCTGTCGAATAGCAATCCCAGGTATTTCGCTTCCCTTGCTTGTGGAATAATAGTGTTGTTGAGAATTATGTTAGGACAGACATTTTGAAGAAAGGTGAAGGTGATGTGGGTAGATTTTAGTTCGTTAATTTTTATTTTCCAGGTGTCACACCACTTGGATAATATGTTGAGGTGAGATTGTAAAAATGTGCTACAGTTATGCGGATCTTGATCGGCAGCTAGTATTGCAGTGTCATCTGCGTATGTTCCGATGAGTGTGTTTGCGGTATGTGGAATGTCAGCTGTGTAGATGATGTATAAGAAAGGAGCAATGTCGCTACCTTGGGGGACTCCGGCTTGAATATTATGATAATCGGATAGTGTGGAATTAAGTTTGACTCTAAAAAACCTATTTTCAAGGTATGATTTGAGTAGTAGAAAGTATGGTGCAGGAAATATTTTTTTTAATTTATATAGTAAGCCGGTGTGCCAGACCGTGTCAAATGCTTGCGCGACGTCGAGGAATACGGCAGAGCAGTATTTTTTGGATTCGAGAGATGTAGCAATAGTATCTACGACTCTGTGGAGTTGATGGAATGTGGCATGTTATGGTCGGAAACCAAACTGAAATTCAGGTATGGTATTTTTCTCTTGCGCTAATGGGAGAGTCTGCTAAGGAGAAGCTTTACGAGGATTTTACCGAGAACTGGTAAAAGACTAATTGGTCTATATGACGTCGACATATCTGGGGGTTTTTCAGGTTTTAAGATGGAGATAATAATTGCTGTTTTCCATGTAGGGGGGAAATAAGAAAGGCGAAAGATCGCGTTGTAAATATATGTAAGCAGTATGATTGTTTTGGGCGGTAGATTTTTTATTATTTTGTTACTAATAAGATCGTGTCCAGGTGACTTGTTGGTCTTGAGTTTTTTGATGATTGATGACACTTCTTTGGGAGTGGTGGGTTTTGCTGGAAGGGCCATGGGTAGTGGAGACGTGTTAAATCAGTTTACTAGATCTAAGTGTGTGGTGTCCGGGAGGATTAAGTGTGGCTTGAAGACATTGGTGAAATGTTCAGCAAGTAGCTCGACCTTTTCTTGAGTGGAGACGGCTAGGGTGTTGTTTAGACGTTGAAGGGGAGGCGTGACTGATTTGTGTTTTAATAGTGATTTAGTTTTCTTCCAAAGGGAGCCGTTATTTGGTGATAGGGATGAGAGGTGAGATTTGTACATTTCAATTTTGTGCTTTTTTAGTAGTTTTTTGAGTTTATTTGTTAGAGAGTTATATGTATGTCTGTCTTCAGGGTAGTGAGTGCGTTGCCATTGATTGCAGGCTCTCCGCTTCTTTGTTATGAGTAGTCTTAATTCAGGAGTAAGTTGATTGCCAGATTGCTTGTTTATTATTGGAGATAGGGAGTTGATTTTAGCGCTGAGAATGTTCTCTGTGAGTGTATTAATTGCCAGATCGACATCGGTTTTTGTTTTTAGTTTAATATTAAGATGGGAGTTCTTTGTCATGAGATTTCGGAATTTTGGTCAGTATATTTAATTTTGGGTGAAATTTTTTATACTAGAAGAAGTTTGGGCGTTTATTTGTAGCATGACTGGAGTATGGTCTGAGGCCGGGTCATTTAAGTTAATGATTTTTGTTAAGAAATGATTTGGCAGATTTGTTAGATAGAAATCAAGTATATCTGGATGGCGGTTTGCGTGTGTTTGGCCAGTATGTAGGCGCATCTGGAGCGAGTGCTTTAAGGTGTTTGGAGGACATGAAACTATAGAGTGAACGTCCTCTTGTATTGGTTGATCTGGCTCCCCATGTTAGGTGTTTGGCGTTAAAATCAGCTCCGATGATATAAGTGTGATTAAGTGTGAGTAAAAATGTTGATAGTTCATTTTCAGGAAACTGACACCCTGGTGGGAGGTAAGCAGAAGCGAAAGTAATTGGAATCGAGTTTATAATTATAGAGGAGGCAATGATTTGTAGTTTGTTAGAGGTGAATGGTAGAAAAGGAGAATGAGATATTTTGTTGGAGATGAGTAGAGCGGCTCCTCCATGGGCAGTACCGTCAGGGTGATCAGCTCTGAGCACTTCATACCCAAAGATTTTGAGAGAAGACGTTTTAGTAAGATTCCGACATCATAACAATATCTACTTTTTCTTCTGATAGAGTTAATTGTAGTTCGTTGATGTTATTTAGTATTCCATTGACATTCCACAAGAGGATTGTGAGTAGGTGTGATTGTTGATTAACGGCCATTTTTAAGAAGTTGCTCGATGACAGTCGTGAGGAGTGAGATAAGTGGATTAATTAGCGTTTTTAGATCGGTAATAAAAGAAGATAAATGATTTGAAAAAATTTTCTCTGACGGCTGGTCTGATTTTGTCCACTTAGTTGGATTTTTTGCTGTGGTAGATTGAGTAGTTTTAGAGTGAGAAAGGGGTGGAAAATTTTGAGTGGTTAAGATTTTTTCTGAGTGAGTTTCATCTGAGTTTACGTTTAGTAAGTAATTGGTTTTAATGTTTGAGTTTAGATGTGATTTTCTTTGCTTTAGTAATTCTTTATAAGACTGACAGCCCCTATAGTTTGCAGGATGGGAGCCTCCGCATAGGGCGCATTTGGCCGGTTCATTTCGGTTTTTTGTGCAAACAGAGGACTCGTGATCTTCACCACAGCGAACACATCTAGGGTTGTGATTGCAGTAACTACGGGTGTGGCCATAGGACTGGCAACGTTGGCATTGGGGACTTCAATTTTTATTTTGGAATAGCAGAGGGAAGTGAGTTTGAATATTTCTTGATTCAGTTCAGCTTGCTTAAGGTCAACAAAGAAGAGGGGCAGCGGCGTTTTAGAAGATCTGTGGAGGACATTCGCTATGTTTTTGACTTGGTACCCTAGATTAGTTAGTTCATCAGAGATAAAATCTTTATCAGTAGAAGGGTGAAGGTTGCGGATGACAATTCTGAACGGTTTATTTTCTTTTGACTGGTAGGAATGGAAGGAGATGTTTTCACTTTTGAAAAATTTAATGACTGATCTGTATGAATCAGGGCTAAATGTTTGTAATTTAACACCTTTGGTAGAGCTTTTACAGGAAAAACTAGATGCGTCGGTGAGTTCTTTCATTTTGAGGCAAAAAGAATTGTAATTTATTTGTGTTTGGATGAATATAGGTGGAGGTAGACTTTTTTTGTTAGTGATATTTTCTACATTTTGTTCATTAGTGCTGTCCATGAGAAAGTTTTCAGTCGCAGGAGAGATTGGTGTGTATCTGTTTTGAGAGATGAATATACTCGTATCAGATTTTTTTGGTTGGGGTGAGACGTTATTAGGCGATCTGATGCGTTTATTTTTATCGACTGTTTGCCAGTCATTTTCGCTATCCGAGAATTCAAAGAGCGATTTATCGGTAGACTGGGAAAATCTTGATTTAGATAAGACTAACGGTGAAATAGTTTTTTTTTTGTAGTATTTATAGTTGAATTATTTGGTTAAGTTGTTGGGATAATTATAGTAGATAAGATGTTCGAGTAATTGACCTCGAACCGTCGGCGGCCGTTTGTTTTGTAGTAAGTTGTGAAACTGGTTTATTTTAGTGAGCGGTGTGTTGTGATAGGAAATAATTGCATAATACCTGATTTCTGTAGTGTGGACTCGTCTGTACGCTATCGATAGCTATAAATGCGGTTCGCTCGGAAGTAACAAACGTGTTGCTCAGTTGGGAGTCGAACACGAACTGCATCTTAAAATCTAAAATTGTATTAAGCTTAAACCTTAACGCTTATAAATATTAGTATCATTGAGTACTAAGAATTAATTTTTATTAAGTAAAAAGTATTTTATAATTTTAATTTGTCATCAAATAGTTCATCTATTTCATTCTCGTTATTTTAAATAGACTTACATATACCTAAACCACTTTCTACTCATATATTTTCATCATGATAATTGGGTTTTTTTTAATTGTTTTGACAAATGGAGGTTTACAATTTGCTTTTGCTTTGATGGACAGTCCATCTTAGTTTGCAATATGCAAATAATACTTTATACTTAATCAAATTAAATCACAAAATACGGAGATACTTAAATCCGAGGTACA